AAAAAAACAGGATTTGACCATCATGTTTACGTGACTGTTGAGTTTTAAGGACGGGTCCATTATCACCCCCAGATTAGTGACCTTTTGTTTCTCTAGTGGGGCTAGAGAGAAAAGGTCAATGTCATGGTTCATGAGTGAGCCACTGGGATGGAACAGCATGACTTCAGACTTCTTCTCATTGAAGCTTAAGAAGTTTAAAGCCATCCAGTCCCGGATGTCAGCCAGGCAGTTAAGAAGAGGCTGAATAGAGCGTGTGCCTCTGTGCCTCAGGGGGAAGTAAATTTGGCAATCATCGGCGTAGAAATGAAAGGGTATGTTGTGTTTGCGAAAAATAGCACCTAGTGGCAGCAGGTATAAAGAAAAGAGAAGGGGACCGAGGATGGCCCCCTGTGGTACCCCCCACTGGAGCGCTGTCGATGCCGAACTAAAATCTTTGATATTGACACAGAAGGTTCTGTCAGAGAGGTAGGACCCAAACCATTTAAGGGCTGACCCTGTGATGCCCACCCACTGCTCCAGTCTAGAAATGAGGATCTTGTGGTCGATGGTGTCAAAAGCAGATGTAAGGTCCAATAAGACAAGCAGCACAGAATCACCTGCGTCTGTGGATATGAAAATGTCATTAAAAACCTTCAGTAGAGCAGTTTCAGTGCTATGGAGAGATTTGAAGCCAGATTGGAATAACTCTAGGATAGCGTGATCCCCCAAAAACTGTTTCAACTGAGACTCCACAATTTTTTCCAGTAGTTTAGAGGTGAATGGGAGTCTGGAGACAGGCCGGAAGTTGGACATGACTGAGGGGTCAAGGTTAGGTTTATTCAGGAGGGGCTGGACAGCAGCATGTTTAAAAGTTTTTGGCACCACACCTGAGGATAAACTGCTATTCAGAATAGCGAGAATAAAAGGACCCAGGGCAGGAAAAACGTCCTTTAGTAGTCGAGGGGGGACCACATCAAAGGGGGAACCAGATGGCTTCATGCTGCACATTACCTGCTCCAGAGAAGACAGAGAGATGGGCTCAAAGTGGTCAAACACAGCCACACACTGAGATGGGACGGACAGATCATGAGCTGGTGGAGAAATGAGTGCCTGGGTGTTTGCCACTTTTTCTAAAAAGAAATGGAGGCAGTTTTCACACAGCTCAGTTGAGGCTTCCAGAGGTGAAGGCTCACTGAGGTGTAGAACTGAGTTCAGGGTGGAGAAAAGAACTCGGGGGTTGTGGGAGTTGGAGACAATTAAATCAGAGAAGAATTTACATTTGGCAGCTTTAACGGTTTTCTGATAGTGACGCCAACTCTCCCTTAACATTTGAAAAGAAACCTGCAGCCTGTCCTTCCTCCACCTTCGTTCAGCTCTGCGACACTGCCGCCTAACGGCTCGAGTGACGTCATTCAGCCAAGGCTCTGATCTAAGTTTCGTTTTTCTGGTTTTAAGGGGAGCAACACGGTCCAGAACATTTAAACAGGCAGAGTTGAACTGAGAGGTTAGCTCCTCAGTGGTAAGAGACACCGAGAGCTGTTCGATCCTCTCAGAGTTAAAACCTTCATTAAAACGAGCAGCAGTGAAACGGTTAATGGAACGAGTAGTATGTGCAGGAACGCACGTCAGCAGTAGGACAAGGGGGGGTGAAGTCAAACAATACAGGCATGTGATCTGAAAAAACATTGTCACCGATTTTCAAATTAGAAACAGAGACATTGCGTGTTAAAACGAGGTCCAGCGTGTGACCGTGTTCTTGGGTGGGACCGTTTACCTGCTGAGTTAAATTAAAAGAGCCCAATAAATCTAGAAAGTCCTTCACTAAGGGCTTCTCCTGACAACACACATGCAAATTAAAGTCACCTATAAACAAAAAGTGAGTGTATCTCTGTGTGATATCAGCCAAAAAGTCAGAGAATTCATTTATGAAGTCCTTGGATCGAGGGGGGCGGTAGACTAGTGCGCACAGAACCGGAGGAGAGTGTCCGAGTTCAAAGACGCTTAACTCAAAGCTGGCGCGGCAAAATTTGCTTTCATCCGAAAAAAGTACTTTGGACCACTGAGCAACAGTCCAGTGCTGCTTCTCTGTAGCCCAGGTCAGGCGCTTCTGCCGCTGTTTCTGGTTCAAAAGTGGCTTGACCTGGGGAATGCGGCACCTGTAGCCCATTTCCTGCACACACCTGTGCACGGTGGCTCTGGATGTTTCTACTCCAGACTCAGTCCACTGCTTCCGCAGGTCCCCCAAGGTCTGGAATTGGCCCTTCTCCACAATCCTCCACAGGGTCCGGTCACCTCTTCTCGTTGTGCAGCGTTTTCTGCCACACGTTTCCCTTCCCACAGACTTCCCACTGAGGTGCCTTGATACAGCACTCTGGGAACAGCCTATTCGTTCAGCAATTTCTTTCTGTGTCTTACCCTCTTGCTTTAGGGTGTCAATGATGGCCTTCTGGACAGCAGTCAGATCGGCAGTCTTACCCATGATTGTGGTTTTGAGTAATGAACAAGGCTGGGAGTTTTTAAAAGCCTCAGGAATCTTTTGCAGATGTTTAGAGTTACGTCGTTGATTCAGATGGTTAGGTTGCTTGTTTAGAGAACCTTTTCATGATATGCTAATTTTTTGTGACAGGCATTTTGGGTTTTCATGAGCTGTATGCCATAATCATCAGTATTAAAACAATTAAAGACCTGAAATATTTCAGTTGGTGTGCAACGAATCTGAAATATATGAAAGTTTCATTTTTATCATTACATTACGGAAAATAATGACCTTTATCACAATATGCTAATTTTTTTAGAAGGACCTGTATATATCTAAAAAAGTTAAATCTGGTCCTCTGGACATTCAAAAAAACAAAACAAAGCAAATCAACAAAAAAATGTAGAAACGTTTCGTCTCTCATCCAAGAGACTTCCTCAGTCGTGCTGTATTCAGCTCAGTCTCTTAAATAGCACCTTCTCAGAGTGGATCAACCAGTTTTGCTGCTGACAACCAAAACCAGCTGATCACATGCTCAAGAAGGACCATCAGCCTAACAATGGATCATTAGCACACTGATGGCTGTTTACTATTGACAGAGGGCTGAGTGATACTAGCAATCACAGCATTGTAAGAGGGGGACAATTGAACACGTAGGCCTCTTATATGTGAAGGTGACATGTCCCCCCCCCCCCCACACACACACACACATTCAAAAAACGTTCATTTGGACCCACACACACACACTTTTACTATGAAACATTAGTTCAGTCGGTGCATTCTCTTTCTTCGTGAACAAATCCATTCCACTTGATTAATAGGAGAATACTCAAACCACTAAAACTCCACTCCAGGTTTTCCTGGTTACCTCTAACTCTCTGTTTCTGTGCGTCTCCTCCTGCCTTGGCAGAAAACGCGCACAGGTGGAGGAGATGGAGACACCTCTGTGTTACTCGCTCGTCAGTTTAGCGAGCTTAGTGTGGGCAGTTGTTGACCAGGGGGTTGATCATGAACATATATTCATGTTAGGAGGATGCTTGAGAGGAGCTACGTCTGTAGCATGTTCTCTCAGCAGTAACTGTGACTCTGTCAGACGCTGCAGGTGTAAGAGACGCTGTGTGTTCAGGTGCATTAAAGTTGAAATATCTTCAAACCCCCACACTTTATTGTCCTCAAGCTTAATGAGAAACATCATTTAGATGAGTGTTGAACACAAGTGGAAAAAGTCCAGTGGTGATGTTTTTATTTTTCTATAAACACAAATAGTGTCGACGGGACGCTCTGTATTAAAGTGTATTAAAGTTAAAATGTGTTTAAAACCCACAGCTGAATTTACACAAACTTGGTGAGAAACATGTTTTAAATGTGTTAGAAAGGAAATCTAGGTGAAATGCTGCTTTTTGTACACTAGTGTAGACTACACTTTTTTAACGCGCACACGCATCATTGTGTCCCCCCCACATTACGAATGCTTCTGACGCCCTAGGTTACCTACTAGGAGAAGTCTGCAGATACATACTTGCCTAGATACCCACAGATAATGTGTTTGTTCATTTCTTTTTTATCCACCAGTCCGTCCTCCAGTCCAGCAGGTGGCGGTGAGGCTCGATATGTTTGTTTACCAGTCCAACAAAAGCAGTGGCAGAAGAAGAAACAAAAACACAAAAGAAGAAGAAGAGCAACAACATGATAAAACTCATGCTCGGTCTTGGACAACTTTAGAGGTAACGTCCAATTTTATTACAATTTGTAGTTTGTGATTGATGGTCTTGTTTTTTTGATAGTTAGCATCTGATGCTACTCACTTTAGCTGGAACGAGCATCTGACTCATGTGGCTCATTAGCTAAACTCAGAGGCTTCGACGACTCCGCAGTAAAAAGGTCCACGTAACGTTTCTTTCTCCGACAGTTTGTCGGCGGTTCTTCTCCACATGGCGGACCGGGAGGAGCGCCGCTTCGCCGAGGTTTCCCGCGACTCGGTCAGACTGATGGCGGAGAGCGGAGGAGTGGAGCTCGGAGAAGAAGTGGCGGCGCTGCTCGCTGAGGACGTCTGCTACAGACTGAGGGAGGCGGCCCAGGTCTGTCTGCCTGACATCTGTCTGTCTGGCATCTGCCTGTCTGCCTGACATCTGTCTGTCTGACATCTGTCTGTCTGACATCTGCCTGTCTGTCTGGCATCTGTCTGTCTGACGTCTGTCTGTCTGACATCTGCCTGTCTGTCTGGCATCTGTCTGTCTGTCTGACGTCTGTCTGTCTGACATCTGTCTGTCATCTGTCTGTCTGACATCAGTCTGACATCTGACTGTCTGACATCTGTCTGTCTGACACATCTGTCTGTCTGACACACCTGTCTGTCTGACATCTGTCTGTTTGTTTCCTGAACAGAGCAGCTCTCAGTTTATGAGGCATGCTAAACGGCGCAAGCTCACCGTGGAGGACTTCAACAGAGCTCTGCGGTGGAGTAACGTGGAGGTCAGCTTGTTCTTACAGTCCTGTGGGTTTGACGTGGTCGTGCTGCTGTGGCTTCTGTCCGTCATCTTCTCTCCACCACGCTCTCTCTGCAGGCCGTCAGTGGCTACGGCGCCCAGGATGCTCTGCCTTTCCGTTCCATGAAAGAAGGAGAACTTTTCTGTGTTGAGGATCGAGACATCAACCTGATCGAGTTGGCTTTGGCCACCAACATTCCTAAAGGTTGTGCTGAGACCATGGTGCGAGGTGTGTTGGGCTCGTACGTTCTGGTCCGATGGTCAAACCAGACGCTTCCTCAGAAGTCCCTCGATGTCTGACCTTGTTGTGTCTCTGTCCTGTCAGTGAACGTGGCTTACCTTGATGGTAAAGGCAACATAGAGCCCCAGGGGACAGGTAAGACCCCATCATGTTCTCAATAATCTGGTTCTGATCTTCGTTTGAGTTAAGATGGTGTAGCAGCCGTGTGGCGGGGTGGGGGGCTCAAAAACTCATGTTCTGTTAGTTTACATCAACGTGGCAGCTCAGTTCAAGTTTGTAAAGTTTCATCTGACAAAACCACAGACTTCTGGACCAGCGTTCTTTAGACACACCAGACCAAAGTAGAGGTGTTTACCCACAATGCACTGCACAAGTACCTCACACCAGCTGTCAGCACGGTGGTGAAGGGGTGAGCCGGGCTCCTTGAGTGGACCATCTGTCCAGCAGCTGCAGCTTGGACCAAACAGGGTCATAAAGCAGCAGGAACAGCAGCTGATCTACAACAGAATGGCTCGAAAAGACAAAAACAAGAATGAAGGCTCTGAAACGGTCCAAAGTCCAGAACCCCAGCCTGACTGACCTGCTGTGGTGGGACCGTCAGAGACCAGAGCAGAACTCACCATGAATGTTGGAAAGAATAGTGAACCAAAATTCCTCTACAACCACGTGACCGATTGAAGTGGTCATGTTTATTTAATTTATTTTGTTTTGTTTGAGTTTAATATTGACACTGTTGTGTTGACTTGATTATTACGACACGTTTTATTGAGTCAGTGACTAGATCTGTCATGATGAACAATAAATCAATGAATCGCATGATAAATTAAAATGATCAACCTCATTTTCATTTATCAGCTTTATCGTTTCTTTGTGTCTCTCTTTCTACTGAAGACACTGGATGACAAAAAGCTCAACTCAGGTGCTCTTCATTGACCCCTCCCTTTCTCTTTAAAATCTGTTTTAACGATACAAAATCACGTTTTTGGATCATTAAAAGCAGTTAAGCTGAGAAGTTAAGCTAACAGGTCGACCTCGGGGAAAAAACTCCGTCTTGACGAAGCTCCATAATTCACGGTTGAAACTCGTGCCTTTGTCTAAAAATTTGTTTTTCTCTGCAAAAAGAAGCTGAGAGCTTGTTTACTGATTTTTTATTAAAAGCTTTGTGTGAAAAATGCTACGCTAAAGAGCTCAAACCACACCGAGCGTCCGCCATTTTGAGAACCGAAGAGAGACAGTCCATGTCACGTCAAGGGGCCTCCCTCCCATCTTTCTTAAAGAGACACGCTGCTCGCTCCTTCACTATCCATCCTTGGATTCAAACAGTCTTATACTGCCATCCAGTGGTCGAAAAAGGTACTACATGCAAAAATTAACCAACATTTCTTCTTAAATTTGACAGTAATTACTATTTGTCAAATTTCAAACAGTATTATTGTTTATTGCAATAATTTCTGAGACAATCGTGCAGCAAAAATTGTGACGGGCCTGTCAGTGTCTCTGAATCATTCTGTTTCTGGATGGATACTTTATTTAGTGACAGATTTTCCTGTAGGGTTCTACACTTTTGATGAAACAAATGTCTGAAAGCGTTTGTCTGGTTGCAGCTTCAGACCATAAACCAGAGGTGTGTTAGCTAAAAACTGTATAATAACAAAACAAACAGCTGTGATTTTATCTGCACCAACATATATTTATAGTATTAACTATTAGTAATAATCATGATTAATCTTTTTATATGTAATTTGATTTCTGGAGCTCATCTGGGGACCTGAACGTGATGTTTTATGACTCACAGTGAGGTCCTGACCCAAACTTTGGGAACCATTAGACCTCACTTTAAGCCACATAATTTCCCTCTTTATTTAAACGACTGACTGGATGTATTTGTTGAAAGAATCGTTGTGTTGAGGTTCCCCTGAGAGGAGAGGGTTTGAGGGGTTTAAAGTCCTTCAGTCTGGACTCCATGTTGGGCTCTGAGTGTGACCTGAGTGTTGAATTGTCACAGTTCCCTCTGCAGTGCAGTCTTTATCTGATGACCTGCTCAAGTACTACCAGCAGATCACCCGGGCCATCCTGGGAGAGGACCCCCACCTCATGAAGGTCAGTGGGTGGTGAGCCTTTTCTCTTGGTGTTTGAACAGGAAACAGCATTGAGTTTTTTCTCTGTGGGTTCCAGGTGGCTCTGCAGGACATCCAGTCCAACTCTAAGATCGCTGCTCTGCTGCCGTACTTCGTTTATGTCATCAGTGGAGTAAGTTCTACACATGAAGCCTTTTTATTCTCTTTTACCCACAATAACCTCAACCTGAGTAAGAATGTCTGTTCTGGGGCTTTTTTGTCCCCCATTGCTGAGAGGAAGAGGAGGAATTGGGAATATCTGTCCATCCGTGCATGTTGTGAGTGCAGTACCTTCAAAAATAAGTCAGGTACCGACTTCCATTTAGAAAATCTATCAAAATCCAAGATGGATGCCACCATACATGCAAACTTTGTGGGCTGGATAACAAAAATAAGCCACAAGTCGACTTCCATATTGATGTGTGGCTGCATGCAGGTGTAAGAAAGGTCACTGTCACAAACTAGGCTGCCATGTCAAAATCCAAGATGGCCACCGTCATATGTACCTGTGTGTGTGTGTGTGTGTGTGTGTGTGTGTGTGTGTGTGTGTGTGTAGTGTTTCCTCTGCCTTATACAAGCAGGGCTCCTCACTCTGTCAACAGAACCGAGCGCCCTTCTTACCGACACCTCTCCCACCCCGGTGACAACTGCCAGTACTGGCATAGCGCTAAGCTAGCAGCGTGCAATACAGATGCACTAGCTAAAAAGCTATGAATATGGAGGTAGCGCTCCATCTCCCTCACGTTGAGCTGTCTAACATCCCCCAAACCCCAAAGTCTGTCTGTACAAACAGAGTGAACACAGACGTGTCTCCGTTGCCGCATCCACCCCCCTCCCCACCCTGTCAACAAAAATCACAGAATATATGAGCGTCCTGCCAAGGCAAGTAAACTATTGGAACACTGGTGTGTGTTTTTGTGTCTGTGTATCTATCATGCCCGTCATTTGAGGAAACTGCTTTCTACTTTTTATATTGCTTAAAAGTGTAGTTTCCTCAAATGACCGAGGTGGCTGGAAATGAATCTATAGTGGTCAAGGCCACCATTGGCCACCCCCTGGCTCCACCACTGCACCTGGTGATGGATGAAGTTGTTCTCTCTTAAGGATTTGTCACTCTGCTAAGAGAAGCAAAAACAAACGTTTAACTCGTACCCTCTTGAATATTTTGCAGCAAAAACATCAATGTTTCCTTTATTCTCTGTTCAGTCCAGAAAAACACTCGTCTCCAAATCTACAAACATTCACTACTCACGTCCCTCAGTGACGATAAAGAACACGTTCTGGTGTTCATGTCTGTGCTGTTCCAGGTGAAGTCGGTGAGTCATGACTTAGAGCAGCTCAACAGACTCCTGCACATGGTGAAGAGCTTGGTCCAGAACCCCTACCTGTACCTGGGCTCGTACGTGCGCAGTCTGGTCTCCAGCGTCATGTACTGCATCTTGGAGCCGCTGGCCGCCTCCATCAACCCACTCAACGACCACTGGACCCTCAGGGACTACGCTGCTCTGCTTCTCAGCCACATATTCTGGTGTGTGGTGTAACATCCAGCTCCTTCGGGGGGGGGGGGGGGGGCTATGACTTCTGCTTTTTATAACTTTTAAACTTTTCAAAGTATTTATTTCATTTACAAATATTTTACTTTTAGAAGTTCATTGAGATCATCAGTTCCTTGAAAAACATTCAACTTTTTAAAATCAGCACATTTTATTTTAGTCTTGTTTACATTTTAAGCTAGCCTTTTGCTATTTTAAGCTAGCCTTTTGCTAGTTTTAGCTTTTAGCTGTGCTCAGCATCTTTTAGCATTAACTCCTCAGCTTCAGCATTCAGGTCATTTAGCAGAAAATGCATTCCCTCTAGTTTATGACCTTGTTTTTCTGCAGGACTCACGGGGATCTGGTGAGTGGTCTCTACCATCAGATCTTGCTTTCACTCCAGAAGGTTCTGTCTGACCCGGTGAGGCCACTCTGTTCCCACTATGGAGCCGTGGTGGGCCTTCACGCTCTGGGGTGGAAGGTACGTGCACTTCTCCTCTCTGTGAATTTCAGCTGCTCTTTTGTCTTTCATCACTTTCAACCCAAAGACGTCCATCAGCGGTCTATTTGGAAACTGGTTACCAGCACAGTCACATCAAAATCCAAGATGGCCACTCCCCATATGTATATGTCAAGCTGGCGACCAGTTTGAGGAACGATTTCGTAGCAGAGTGGATAATTGAAAATCCTGCAAATTGTAACAACAAGCACTAAACATGGTGTGATGATCGTCTTTTAGGTGTTTGTCAAATCTGCCTATTTGGCCATTTGAAAAGCCAAGATGGCTGCCTTTTTTTCAAGATGTGCTTATTTCCACACAGTAATCTTATAGTAATGCTGTTCCTTCATCATCATCATCATTTAAATGATGTTTGTGTCAATTTATGAGTTTTCTACTGTCGTAGGCTTGTACATGCCAGAGCATGAAACGAGCGTTTATGACAATTTGTGGGAGAATGTTTCAACAGATCGGCCATGCGTCTCCTTTCTGAGTCCACCTGCAGTCAGGAGGACTGACGGTGATTTTGAAAAATGGCCTCCAGCTTGAATTTTTAGTCACACGGGTAAAATTGTGCAGAAGACTCTTGAGAACCCAACAATTTTCAGTCAGGTCATCTGGACTGTTTCTTTTTTTTGTGCTGAAACGTTTCACCTTCCATCCAGAAGGCTTCATCAGTCAAGGAAACACACACAGATGACCTGACTGAAAATTGTTGGATTGTATGCCTGGATTATTGAGCATGGACTTTGTTACTCTTGGGAACATCCATCCATTATCTGTACTCACTTCTTCCTTTATGAGTCACGGGGGTCACTGGTGCCCATATCCAGCAGTCACTGTGTGAGAGGCAGGGGACACCCTGGACGGGTCTCCAGTCCATCACAGGGACACACAAAGACAAACGAGACAAACAACCATTCACTCTCTCACTCACACCTAGGGACAATTTAGAGTTACCAGTCAGCCTAACATGCATGTTTTTGGTCTGTGGGAGGAAACTGGAGCACCCGGAGGAAACCCACGCATGCACGGAGAGAACATGCAAACTCCACCCAGAAAGACCCCCGGACCGGGATTTGAACCAGCAACCTTCTTGCTGAGAGGCAACAGCTCTACCAACTGAGCCACCGTGCTGTCCTCTCTTGGGAATGACATCTGTGCTTGTCCTCGTACACGTCGCACCACCGTATAAGTCGCATCAGCCCAAATACGTCTATTTTTTATTATTTTTTATTCTTTCGGCTGCTCCCTTCTTCAGGGTCACCACAGCGAACAACTAAGTCACACGAAGACTTGGCGATTATTTTTACACCGGATGTCCTTCCTGACACCATCACAGACCACCGAGCTACCACAGTCCTCTGTGTGGAGCAGAGAGCTGCTGTCTAGGACATCCGGGGGAGCAGATGGTGGGGGTTAAGGGCCTTGCTCAAGGGCCCAGAGTGAGGCGAATGAGGGTGGAGACAGGTGTGGGTGCTTAACCAATCCCACCCACATTTTCATGTTGTCTGTACCAGGAGTTGAACCAGCGATCTTCCGATTACAAGCCCACCTTCTCTAACCTCTGTGCCATCGCTCCCGTCCAGAAATGTCTAATAAAGTGGGAAAAAAACATAAATATGTTGTTTCGCTGTATAAGTCACATCTATTATGCGGCAAAATTAAACTGATTTGACGTTTGCTCCAGGAGTTCCGGAGCGAGACGCAGGTGTTGTATGGCAAGCCAAGTGTTTCATTAATAGCCACTTTTACCTATTAATGAGACACTTGGTTTGCCATATTAGTCAAGGGCCCTCTAGTGGCTGAAAATGGTAGTGTTTAATTTTTTCATGTCAGAATGAATGAAATCGTCAGATCTCAGCCAAAAATTGGATTATAAATATGGGGGAAAACATAAATATGTCGCTTTGCTGTATAAGTCACAGGACTTGTAATTAATGCAAAAAACTATGACTTATACAGTATGCCAAATTTTGGTGCTCGTAGCTTTAGCCGCTTCACTATTTAGTTTTTATTGTCTAAAATCTAGTTTCCTCAAATGATCGGGGTGGCCAAAGGTTAATATTTGGAGGCCAAGGCCACCATTGGCCACCCCCTGGCCCAGCCATTGGTGGTGTCTGGTGGTGGATATTTGCCAGAGTCTGTCACTTTGCTGCCAAAACAAAAATACCTCTGTTCTTCTCCACAGTGTAACTCCTACCCACCTGAGTATTTTACACCAAACAGTAAAGTGGACTCGAGTCTCTGCTCTGACCTGGGGACAGCAGTGTAGCTCTTGTTTTAACTTAAAGGAAGTTATAAATCCATCAAACTCTAACAGTTTTATTGTAAATAAAATAAATGTTAGTTTTGTCTGTTGGCACATTTTCAAAGTTTTTTATTATCATTAGCATCACAGGTGGTACATGAGGTGGAACAAAACTGTGCAGTCCAAGTCAAGTTACACCCAAAAATATAAAGTATAACAAAGAAACAGTAAATAAGGATCTAAGTTATACACTAAACAATAATAATATAATAAACAGCAGCCTGAACGTTTGTTTATGAATAATTTTTTTTTACATTTCTGGTGTTCTTCTCTTCTCATCCTTCGGCCTGCCTGAGTGTTTTCTACCTGAACCTTTGTGTGTTTTTGCTGACAGGCTGTTGAGAGAGTTCTGTTCCCACACCTGCCGGCCTACTGGGCCAACCTGCAGGCGGTTCTGGACGATTACTCTGTGTCCAACGCCCAGGTCAAAGCTGACGGACACAAGGTCTACGGAGCCATCCTGGTCTGTCCTTTTATTGTTGTTTATTATTTATAGTTGTTTATTAGACACAACTGGTTTATGAATCAGCTAAAGACAAACATTTAATGGTAACGTTAGCAGTTTAAAAAAGGTTGAGATGTAATTTACTAAATATTTTAGAAATTGATCAAATAAACCTTTAAAAAATTATTTCATATTTTTACTTTCTGTAATGAAGATAATATGCGTCTGATATTATCCATAATTTAAACGGATTCTTTAATTTTTCTGGACTGAGTAATATCGTGTTTTGAATATTAAATGTGGACAGAGACGTGTTTTATCTTTGACCCACCACAACAGTGAGTCGTTTAATTAAAAACGTTTTAAAACACATCACACATTTACATTAATTGGCAAAATTGATTACAATAACACAGCTTAATTAATGATCCTTGCATGAGAAAATCATGCGGCCATGATTATCTTTTGCAGCTTTTGAAACCAACAGACATTTCTGAAGATAGCTGCACCTAAGTACTGGCAAGATAGAAGTTTAAAGATGGGAAAATGAAGTTTAAATGGAGAGAGATGGATGAGGAAAAAGTGTCTGTATAACCAGAACAGCACGCTCCTTTAGACGCAGCTTAACCCACGGTACACTGGCAGTTGAAGATCGACTCTTTTACCTTTCTGAAGATATTTCAGTTCCGGCGTAAAGTTCCATTTCAAGCCACCTTTCAGCGTCTCCGTAAGAACAGCTGTGACTTCAGGAGTCGTGAGATCATCACAGAACAAACTTCCTCATTGTTCAGAGCGTTCGTCAGGTAGAGCCACAGCGAGACGTCGTGGCATCGACGGACTCTTGTCACTCCGTTAGAAACTGTTCGAACTTCTGTTCTTCTGAACTTCTCTCGTTCAGGAACTTCTGGTTCGAGGTTCTCCCTGGAACTCTTGTTCTGCTCTGGAACGTTGTTCTCTCTGGAACTAGGAAGTGTCGACCCTTTTAAAGAGTTCACTTCCGGTTCCTTCTGGGAACTTCCTGATTGGTTGAACGAACCAACCGGGGTGTGGTTTTTAGTGACGTCAGAGGGTCATTACATGTCAAGGAGACAGCGTAGATGTTTAAAAATATAACAGAAAGATGTTTTGAAACAGACAGACATCTAGGAGCCAGTTTCCTTCTATCTATCTGAGAGAGTTAAACATGACATTTCGTTCCGATAAACATGTTTTTGACCGTTCTCTGACTTTTGACCGACATCACTCCTTCTCATTTCAGACAGAAGATCAAAAAATGCATAATTACTCTGTAACAGACATTAACTTGATTTCTACTTTGAATGAGGATTAAAAATCATTAATACTGTTTCACAGTTGATTTAAAATGATTAGTTCACTTCAACATTTAAAAATGATTTGAACTAAACACACTTTGATTATCAAGATATTGTAAAATAGTAATGATAATAAAAAGAGAGTGTTATTTCAATTGATTAGTGCAGGACACACTTAGAAAGTCTCTGGATGAGCTTAATTTGTGTTTCTGGACTCAAATCAATGAAATAACAGTTCCTGTCCCAGGAAGGCCCTCAGGGTCAGGTTTTGACCTGAGGCTTAGTTCACTTCATTTCTTCAGAGGCTAAATTTTTGTTTTAAGTCGATGCTTTGATGTTTTATTTTGGTGTCATTAGCAAAAACAAGTAAACCGCAGAAGTAGTTTTATTTATTTACATACTTGACTGTTTCTAATTTAAGAGTGTTAAGAGCGGCCCGGTGCTGCCGATCAGGTACATTGATCATCAGAGCGGCTCGGTGCTGCTGATCAGATGCATTGATCATCAGAGCAGTGTGGAATAATGTTGGTCCGGTTCCTGCAGGTGGCAGTGGAGCGCCTTCTGAAGATGAAGGCTCTGTCTCAGTCGGCTGAGAGGCCCGTGAGTGCTCAGCTGGGTGCTGTGGTGGGCTCTGTGGGTCACAGAGTGAGCTCCCCAGGTCTTAGCCCCCCTCCGGAGCCCCTGTCAGAGGCTGCCCTTGGAATCGCCAGCCACCTCCAGGCAGGCGGAGCCGGCTGTCATTGGGAGGAGTGGTCCCCAGTTCCTCTTCCTGCAATGTACTCTGAGCTCTACTCCTTCTTCGGAGACAGCCTGGCTGTCCGGTTCAGTACCGGGCCGGGGTTCGGCAGCCACCCCCCCTGTACTTTGTCCCATTTCAGAGACACTCGGAAGGAAACGCTCAGCCACGTCTCCAACCCCGACACCACCCGCAAGATGCCGCAGCTGACCGCCAACCTGAACATCAGCCCCAGACGGGATGGAAGTCCCCGCACCGATCCCCCCCCACCGAGCCTGGCAGCCACCGGATCAGGAAGGTAAAACTAAACAACCGAAAGTCCAATTAAAAGTTTAATTTTCTGTTAAAGTGTGGTGTGAACGCTGAAACTTGTTAAAGAAGCTGAAACTGAAAGTTTTCTTCAAATAACCAAAACAGTAACTAAAAGCTAAACTTGGCAAAACAATAGCATAAATAACAAAACTTTAGCCAAAAGCTAAATTTGGCTAAACCGTAGCTAACAGCTAATATTAGCAAAACAGTAACTAATATCTGAAATAAGAAAACCAGTAGCTAACAGCTAAAATGGTCAAAACTGTCACTAACAGCTGAAATTAGTAAAACATTAACTAACTGCTTAAATTAGCATAACTATAGCTAGCAACCAAAATTCGCTACACCTTAGCTAACAGCTGGAATTAACAAAACCGTAGGTAGTTGCTTAAAATAGCAAAACTGTAGCTAACACTTGAAATTTGCAACTCTGTAGCATAGAGCTGAAATTGGCATCATCGTAGCTTTACAGCTAAAATGAGCAAAACCGTGGCTAACAGCTGAATTGAGAGAAATTGTAGCTAAAATTGAATTACTATAGCTAATCAATAGCTAACAATTAACAGAAGCACAGAAAACAGAGAGCAAGTTTTCTGAAGCAGATTACGGAAAACTGTTTTTAAATACCACAGTATTAAATCAAGTATTATAAGTATAAAAGGTAACAAAACTGAAGCTCGTAGTACTTTATTCCACATCAAGCTGAAGGTTTTTATATATGAATGGTAATAAAACATAAAGTATGCAGAGGTAGATTTATTGCAAACAACTTCCAAACATGAAATCTGTAGTCCCAGAAAGAGTTAAAACGTTCTTTCTTGTGGACGCTCTTCTTCCCGTCAGGTCCGTGGCTCGCTCGTCCTCCGTGCAGCGCTCCAGGTCCTCATCGTCACGTCTGGCCCAGCGCTCAGCCGGTCTGTCTCGAGACGTTTTCCCCAAAGCCCGCTTCACCTCGCCTCACACCGGACCCCCGGTGTTCACTTTCGTCATTGGTGGAAGGCAGATGGGTCGGAGATGCCAAGGCCGCCGCCCCTTTCAGACCACTTTTGCTTTGACCCCGCCTCTTCCTGCCGTTCCTCCACGAGCCTACGCCCACAAACTGCCTGTGATCGGCAGAGTGGGCAAACCTGTGCGGCGCTGGACCTGCTCCCATTACTCGCTCCACCTGCCTCTGTAGACGGACTCCCACAGACCGTCAGCTCAGTCCTGCTGCCGTCGTGTTGTGGTGGAAATATTTAGTCTCGAGTTTTCTACTTAAAATCTCAAGGATGTTTTATCTCGGTAGACAAAGTATTGCTCTAGAAGACAGCACACCTCTGAACTGAGTGTTCCAGGGTTGAACTGGTCTAACCCTGTTTGCTGCAGAGGCCAGTTTTGTTTGGCAGGTCTTTTAAAATCTGTAGGAAATTCTAAATCTTTCCAACGTGTTTATTTTCCTGAAAACGTACAATCATCATGTGTTCCTGCTCTGCAGCTCATCAGATATGTTTCACATCACGTTTTAAATTACTTCATTGGTTTAGGACTGAAATAAAATGTATTTTCTTTATATATGTTGATCTGTTGAATTAAATATAAAATACATGTTTTTCACAGGACTTGGTGTGTTTGGTATTTTTTCAGTGAGGTCCATCTCTAAGCTGCTTTTACACAAGAATTATTTTGTTGTGGAACCGGAGCTTTTCTGCTGCGGTTCGGATGTTTTTTTGTACAACAGCCTCGTTTTCTCTGCAGTCTGAGGTTTCTGAATCTTGGTCTCAAAGAGTGGAGGTTTTCGGGGGAACCCCCCCGCGGAGGTGTAAAATACTCCACACGTAGGAAATTGTACATGCGCACTACAGGTGGCTGCAGTGAAAGTTTTTCTGCTCAAGCAGCAGCTGTGATGGACTGGAGACCTGTCCAGATGTCCCAGGTCCAGGGACAATGTTCAGAGTCAGCAAAATCCACTTTTAGAGGAACTCTTCCACAACCATGGAGCTGTGGACTGAACGGTCCAATCCCTTCAGGTTTAGAAACAACCAGCAGATGTTGAGCCTTAGATCACAGGCAGGAAGTTTTGTTAAAAACTGGCGTAGATATTTAGGAGACTGGACATTTGAAGTTTTGAAGCTGAGCTCAGGTACGTTTGTAAGAAAGGAGCAAACATCAGGATCTTTGTCTTGTTGACATTTACAACAAAAACATCTGGAAACTGGTCATTAATCTGGTTAGCTCCTAAAAAGGTTTAGATTTAAGGTAAAAATGTTGTCAACATTGGGTTTATTAAATCAAAGTATCTTCCAGCAGGTTTCAAGTATTTTGCTCCGAGAAGCTTTTCTAACATTTCCAAAATAAGGTTAATAACGAAAACACCTGGACTTTTATTCTGAAGCTGAAGACGTGTCGCTTCCCATCTGGGAGGTTTTGCCTTTTTTGAATTAATAAAGTCTTTCAGATGGGAAGCAAAACGTCTTCAGCTTCAGAGAATGTTTGGTCAAAGGTTGTTTTTATTGTTTGTGGCTGAGAACATCTTTCCCTCCTGCAGTTTACCAAAACCTCATCTCCACCTGGAGGACCGTGGTGGCTGGCCAGTAGAGGGCGCTGGGGTGCCTTCCCACCACTCGCATTACCTTGAATAAAACAACAACAAAAAAATGAAAAGGAAAAAAAAAATCGAAATGTTCTTTATTGTCATTCACATCACGTGGTACATGAGGTGGAACAAAACTATGTACACAGGGTCCCAGTTACATCCAACAAAAATACAAATTGTAAAGAAAAAGAGTAATAAGATCTAAGACATGAACTAAGAATACACTAAGCACTAATAGTATAAAGAAATGTGCCAAACAACAGCAGCACGAACATGAGTCTGTGTGAGCAGATGAGGACTAATGAACACAGCGACATGAAATAAATCAGCAGCATGAGATCAGCATCTTGGATAGTCAGCAGCACATAACAACCAAGTGGCATTACAGAGATTATTCTGGTTAGAGATTCATGAGTCTAACAGCCTCAGGGTAGAAGCTGTTCCTCAGTCTAGTGGTTCTACACTTAATGCTCCTCAACCTCCTTCCTGAGGGGAGCAGGACAAAAAGTGTGTGTGCTGGGTGAGTGGGGTCCTTCATGATGCAAGTGGTCCTCCTGCATCTGGAGGTGTAGATGTCTGTGATGGTGGGGAGACTGACTCCAACAGACTTCTGTGCAGCCTTCACCACTCTCTGCAAAGCTTTTCTTTCTGCAGCTGTGCAGCCTCCATGCCACATGTTGATGCTGGAGCACAGGATGCTCTCCACTGCACACCCGTAGAAGGAGGTGAGGACTGAGCTTCCCAGACCAGCTCATCTGAGGAAGTAGAGTCTCTGATGAGCTTTCTTGATCAGGCTGGTGGTCTTCACATTGATGTGAAGGTTGTTCTTGAACCAGCTCTCCCACTTCTTGCCTGTAGCTGGACTCATCGTTGTTTGTGATGCATCCCACCATCGCTGTATCGTCTGCAAACTTTACAATGCGACAGCATGTATGAGTTGATGCACAGTCATATGTTAGCAGTGAACAGGAGGGGGCTCAACACACAACCCTGGGGGGAGTCTGTGCTGAGGGTTATGGTGGAGTTTTAGTTGTGTAAGATAAATATTTTATAGTTAATAAGTTGTTTCGTTCAACATTGTCTCTGATTGGTGATGACGTATTTCCGCCCTGGGGCACAAATTTTTTTGCCCATAGACTCTTGTTAAAAGTTGTACATGCACAGTAACTCTTCTTCAATACAAAAGAATAGGATCATTTTGGGCGCACCTCTCCTGCGCCCAGAACTGAATGCACAGTACTGATCATGCTTCTGGAACAGATCGTGCAGTGACACTCACAACCAGGCTATGTGTGAGTGGCTAGCTGCTGCAGGGCTTTAAGCCATTGAAAGCCCTTTATCTAATGCCTGTGTTGCCATTTCTGACTGATATGCCTCTCAACTTTTAGATGTCTCTGTTTGTGGAAAAACCTTCAGCTGTGTATTCTAGAAGTGGCAACTGGTGAGTTTGTTTCTGGAGCTATGTTAGCGCTAGCTTCCAGGTTTGGGCTCTGTGATAAATTAGTGCTATTTCTTTCTACATTTATTTGAACGTGCTTATAGAAAAATAATTATCAAACATTAATGCTTTTCTATACTAAATGTCACTGATGTTCTACTATTTCTGAACACCTGCATTTGTATTGATCTGGATAATAAAAAACAAGACTCTTGCAACAAGTAACTAGCTCCTAGTGTTAACATTGAAGCATTTAAATTGGAGGTACATTGAAATGGTGAAATGCTATAATGTGTGCTAAGATGCAATATTAGGACCGTTAATATGAGGTTCCTGTCTATTGCTGAGGATGGAGCTAGTTTCAAACCAGGAGATCGGTTGAATCCCCTCAACTTCTTCCAGTGCGGTAGGAGGCGTTTTTAGCCTACAGCTTCATTCTCATTCATATCTATATATATATATATATATATATGAATATATATATATATATATATTCATATATATATATATATATATATATATATATATATATACATATATATATACATATATATATTCATATATATATATATATATAGTCTTTTAGTTATATGCTGGAGTTCTGCTCGAGGTTTCTTCCTTTTAAAAGGGAGTTTTTTCTTTTCACTGTTGCCACTGTGCTTGCTCAGGATGGGAGACTGCAACGAAGTCAAGATTCAACTTGTCTGCTGGATTCCTTAGAGAACTTTACTAATTGGCTTTTATGTCTGTGAATGTTCCTGTAAAGTGCCCTGAGACAACTTTGTTGTGATTTGGTGCTCTATAAATAAACTGAATTATTGTGGTTCTTTTAGACAGCATTAGTGAATTTCTCTTAACTGTTGTCTTTTTCTACACAGGGTTTAAAGGTGTCCAAATAAGTTTGTTTGCTTTCACCACAGCTGGACTCCAGTCGAAGTGCAGCGTCACTGCAGCTTAAGAGGAATAGAAGAGCTGAACTTGAAGGGTTGCAAAAGGGCTGAACATTTAGTTTATTCAATATTCAATCATCCTTAATGTTAAAGGTTCTGAGTGTGGATTAATGAGGACAAAGCGAATGAACAGGTGTAGCATTGGGCTGCAACAAAGTTAAAAGGTGAATCCACTTTAAGAGCTTCAAAGGTCACATTTATAGAATCATGCAAATAAAATCTGCTCTGACACTAAAACTGATGCAGCCACTAGATCCTCGGAGGAAGGAGGACAAAAGACGACTTGCACAAAGAAGCTCACATGCACGAAAAGACAAACCACAAATGAACTGGTGACAAGAAGGTGAACTGGATACGTTTAATAACCAACAGCTCTTCATTCAGGCCAAGACAACATACTAAAACATGAACATCTGTCCAACAGCTGCACCTGCAGAGGCCACACAGAGACTGCACGGGCCTCAACATTTTCCAAACTCAGGCCAGCAACGAAAAGAAAAACTCCAGTTTTACTAATTTTATAAGAACCAATCTCAGAACTAACATTTTACAGAACTAGCATACATTTATTACAAAAATATTTCATATTCAGCTCAAAGCTAAGACAAAAAAAAAAGTATAAATTTGTCACTTCAAAGAACTGGAGGCATTAAACGTGGAGCATGCAAGCTCAGACCCAGTCAAAGGTTTAACGTCTGAATCATCAAATTATTACAGACATTAAACTCAGAGTTCAATCATGAAGTGATTTATTAAATTTACAAGAACCATGACAAATAACTGCAAGGCTGACATGTGATCAAAAGCAGTGGTAGATGTTTTTACCCACAGACTGTGTGTTAGTCACAACTTTAAAAACAGAAACAATAAGAATGTGGACTAATCAAACCACAGCTCTGCTCAGACTTCCTGTCTGTGAGCACACAGCTGCTGGACGACGCTCTGCTGGGAACTTCTGGGGCAGCATTAATTCTGTGGGGGAGGTGGAGGGGGGGCAGGAGGCATGCTGAACGGTGGCATGCCAGGTACCCCCATATTCAACATGACAAAGTTAGAAGGGTCCATGGGTGGTGGGGGCGGGGCATACATCATGCCAGCTGAGCCTGGAGGCGGCGGAGGGGGAGGTGGGGGGGCACCAGGAGGCAGCGGGGGCTGGACGCCTGGAGGAGGCGGTACCATGGACGGGGTTCCCATGGGCAGCGGGGGCTGGGCGGCAGAGGCTGCGGGCTGCTGCCACGGGGGCAGGGTTGCTGTGGCCGGGGTGGAGGTGGTGGTGGTGGTATCTGCAGGGAGACAGAGGGAGGAGTTTTAAAAAGTCCCACGTTCTTGAATGTAACACCAACCAGATCAGTTTGAGCTAAATTTCCACTAATCCACAGTTCCTGCACGTTTTTCACTCAAACGTCCAGAATTCTACAACAATTTGTCATTTTCAGAGCTGCCATGACACAAACTCTCAGTGGTTTGGATTTTTTATGCTTCAACACAATTTCTCTACCATTACATGATGGTTGCTTTAAAGCTCCACTTCATTCCCAATAATGACTCCTCCTGTTGGCTCGTACAGCTTTTAGTTGTTTATTTTCAGAAAAAGACAAACGTTACCTTGTAGCTACATCCGGGACCATTTCATTTTATCAGTTGTGTTCTGAGACTGTACAGAGTTCACTCATCCATGTTTGAATGTAAATGTGACTGTTGGAAACCAAACATGACGGACACTGAGCTCATTAAACTGTGGTGGTGAATGATGCTCATTTAGTTGTTTTTACCAAAGCTCACGCACATTCACATTATTCAGACCAAAAACCTTAAAATGTGTATTATGACAGCTAATTTGGCTTTAAATACAAAACTCCAGAAATCAAATGACAAATGTTTCTGCAGTTGCACGCTTTTTGTTTGTAAACGTAAAAACTATTAAATTTTAGATAATAGAAAAAAAATCTAATTGAAAAAAAGTCATAACATTTAAATATATATATATATGGTTTGTTTTTGGTATAAAAATACAAACTAAAAAGAATTTACCCATTTTATTACTTGCTTTATCACTCAATCTATCCAGGACACCTTGAGGAAAGTAAATGGTAAATGGACTGTACTTACACAGCTCCTTTCTATCTGATCAAGATACTCAAAGCTCTACAACAATCTGCGCCTCATTTACCCGTTCATACAGATCTATACTAGATCTATACAAAGATAATTGAACAAATCAATCTAAAGAGACTAATCAGAGTTTTATCACATTCATACACTGATGGACACACATCAGAGGCTATGAGGGGTTCAGTGTCTTGCCCAGGGACACTTCAGCATGTGATTGCTGCTGGAATCAAACCCCCAACTCTTGCATTGAAGGACGACTGCTCTAACCACTCAGCCACAGCCGCCCACATCACAGTTTGTGATTTTTAGGCCTCTAATTCAAAAACCAAGATAGTAATGACTAACATTAACCTCAACGCAAGAGGATTCTAAACAAAACATATGGCTGGCTGAGCAAATGACTTTAAAATTAAAATTAACTATTTTAAGATTTAAAGAAAACAACAGAATACAGACTGAAACACCCAAAAATTATTTTAACCTTTTTTTTTAAAAATACATATACTGGAATACAGTAGTCTCTCACTACTTCGCAGTTCGTTTTTCAGACTTGCTCTTTTGCGGTTTTACAAAGTAAGATTGAACATGACACACAACGGGCTGAATGATGGGAGCATGAATACGTTGACCGACAAGATTAGACATCTGGACGAACATTTCTGAACTAAAGCTAGCAATTAGGATTATGATTTTAAACCATAACAATTAAAGATTATGAAGCAGTGTTACTGGTTTTATTTAATATCTAGCGAGGACATTTATTCACGTGACCCTCGTGAAGACGAGGTGTAAACAGGAAATGACTGCTGGGTTCCTACTTTGTTGCCAGGGTAGAGCCGTGCTGGTTGCCATGCTGCTGGCCGGTGGTGGGGGTGGAGCCTGTTGTTGCCATGGTGGAAGAGGAGCAGAGGGGGGAGGAGGGGGCTGGCTGCTGGGTGGAGGAGGTGGAGGTGGCATCATGCTCATTGGAGGGGGCAGCAGATCTACCAGGGGAGAAAGAAATGTCCATTTCAACACAGAGTGGTGAATTTTCAACCTTTATTTCTACAGGTTAGTGTCATTGAGCCTCGAGGACTCGTTCACAACAGAGAGCTGTTTAAACAAAGAACACAGACGAGGTACACAACAACAACAACAACAACAACAACAACAACAACAACAACAACAACAACAATTATATAAAATGAAAACAGAGTGAAATAAAAACAACAGTTGTTTGAATAAGTATCTCACAGGAAGTAAAAGCTCAAATGCACATTCATTCAAACTTTATTTATAAATGAAAAGGAAACAGAACGAGATGTGAGTGTCGAGTCTTACTCATTGGGTGTCCATGTGGTCCAGGTCCCTGGCCCATAGGAGGTGGAGGGGGCTGCATCCAAGGTGGAGGCAGGCCATTAGGGTTAGGGGGCATAGGTGGTCCACCCATGCTGGGCATGGGAGGAGGAAAGTTGTGAGGTCCTCCAGGGCCTGTGGGTCCTCCATGCATGCCCTGGAAGCTCCTGTTCTCTGTCGGTCCAGAGCTCATCCAGGGGGGTCGGTTCTGAAGCACACAAACAATCAGACACCAGCTTCTCTCTGTTAATGTGGGTGTTGGTGTGTTTTTAACTAACCGGTGGGGGCTGGTTGCTGTTCGGGCCAGAGGCTCGAGGAGCGCCTCCTTGAGTCCCAACGTGTCCCCCGCCAGATGGAATTGGGGCCTCCCCCAGCTCAGCCATGAGGGACAGATACTCCTTATCCATTCGAGCCTTGTCTTGTGCTGACTGAGGGGGTTCAGCACCTGGGGCTCTCTGGGCAGAGAACGTGCTGCACAACAAGACGGTAAACACCGTTAGATCTGGATTAAGCTACAAAAGGCAGAACTTCAGGACTCCATCATCACCTGGTGTACTTGCAGTCAGAGGAAATGTGGCCTGCTCCACCACATTTGGTACAGAGGGTGGTGTTGGTGATGCTGCGTGGCTCAGTGTTCTGCCAGGGACGAAGGATCCTGCAGACAAACAGCTCATCGTCAGTGGAGCAGATCCTGAACATTGTACAGAGAGCAACAACCGGTTGCAGTACGCAGCAGGAGACCTGGACCCACCTGTTGTCGTCCTCCCTCAAGGTGCCGTTGAGTCTGGCCAGTTCCCTCAGCTGCATCTTCCGTAGGTCGTTCTGATCCTCTGGCGTCTCGATGCCCTGCTTCAGGATGTTACGAATCTGTGGACACAGATCCAACTCTCAACACAAACAACACACTGGCGCACTGACTGGAAACCAGAGCTGATCAGATCTGGTCACAGAAAGACAACTGGCGGTGCCAACCTGCTCCACAGCTTTCTTGACATTATCCATCGTGTTGGCAGTGACCAGCGCATGCAGAGGCTCATCTTCGCCCGGCAGCATCTGTCCGTCTTTTCGACCCACCTTCCCTTCTTTCACAGAACCTTTTCCTCGAATCATGATCTTAGCACAGCATTCTTTCTCTATGTTCTTCAACGTATTACCACTAAAAGAAAAATAATACACACATTTTAAATGTCATGCAGTGTTCCCCCAGACTACTGGGCAGTGTCATGTTACTTGCTTAAACCAGAATACTTTCAGGAGTCTATTAAACATGTAAGCAGGTCCTACTTACCGTGGTCCGATCAGCAGACCAACAAAGTTGATTTCAGGGTATTCATCTTGAGGAATCATAACTTTGTCACTGACTCTGGTGGCTGGAGGCCTGCAGGACACACACACAGTTAACACTGGTCTCTAGGAGCTCTTCTGACAATATAGTCTGTACAACGGGGGCTAAAGCATCATCTAGGTGATGGTCTGGGTGCTCATCTGGCCCGTTTGTACTTCACAAGCTTTGGCCATAACATACCCAAACCTTTTGAGTAGAAAATAATCTGACTGACAAGTCTCTGTAGTCACCATGGACCTGTTTCTTACCCACCACTTGGATGGTTTCATCCACTGACCAGTTTATACCGTGACCATTGATGTGGTTAGGCCTGGTCTAAGGGGACGTAGTGTTTCTGAATAACTCCACATCTACACAGGACTATTTAATTCATGCAGTAAACTCTTATAATCACAAGAGTTTGCCTGAAAACACCCGCAGGCTGCAGCTTTCATACACAATAACGAGGTGAGGGTAGGACTTGGCAGAAGACCGAACTGACCATCACCCCTTCTAGTTCCTTTATATTTATGTTGGATACTAAAGTTAGCCGCAGACACCAGTGAAGCTCAATAAACAGTCCATGTAACAAATCTTTGTAACAAGTGGTACACTGAGGTCTCCCACCACTGAGGCATTTGAATAGTGAATGTTTCTCATTTTCAAGATCTAGACTGGAACTGAACAGAGAGTCCAAGTGAACCTGAGTGTTTTGGTGCAAGACATTCAAGTGGGTAGAAGAAGCACTGTGGAGAAGACCAGAGGCAGCTCAGAGTGACGAACCCCGGTGACTGGAGGGAGACGTTTGTTCCACCACCAGGTACAATGGCGGAGTCAGGGGGTGGTCGATGGTGGCCTTGATCACCATAATTATTCTTCACACACCACAATCATTTACTGAAACTAAACTAGACATCCAACAAAGTCAAGTCAGGATCTCTAGACGGTTTGTTTTGTTGAAACGTTTCATCTTTTGGATGAAAGACGAAACATTTCAACAAAAACAAACGTCCAGAGGACCTGACTTGACTTTGTTGCATTTTTCTACCTGGATTATTGAGCATGAACTTTGATATAAACTAGAAAGCAAGTTTCAAATGATTGGGGTGGCCGGTTTATAAATATATATGGCGGCAGCCATCTTGGATTAATAAGATGCTAACCAGTTTTTGAAAAGGAACCTGTTATGTTTTAATGTAGCCACACCAAAATGAAAGTCAGTACCTCGTTTATTTATCAAGTCATCATGCTCACAACATGCATGGACGGACAGACAGAAACAAACGGGGCATTTCCAATTCCCCGTTCGCTTTGTGATGGGACAAAAAAATAGCGCTTATCAGTTGTTCTCTTCATTTTGGGGCACCATCAGCTGAATGTGTGTGTCAGAGTCATACTTGTAGTCTGCAGGAGGCTTGAAGTCAGGGTTGAGGGCTATCATTTCTGTGATAAGGGAGTGACGCTCCTCTTCAATCTTCTTTCGGGTGCGATACTCGCGGGTGTTTAGCCTTTTGCCCTCGCTGTTATAGATGGGCTCCGGAGAGGGAGACCTGAGAGCAGCAGACAAAATACAAGACAGACACCACTGAAACCTTCTCGAAGTGGAGCTTTGCAAACAACAATCATTCAGGCTACCTATAGCTGACTAAAAACTGGAAAATAAAATTGTCTAGTTAAAGGGTTAAAGCGTTTGTTTAAAATTTGTATGACAGAAGTGTCAGATTAACTTGGACTCATGGCCAGCACACGAGCTACTTGATGAAGCTACATAAGAGCTGTGCACTGACACGTAAACAGCTAGAGTCCATGTTTTCCACACAAATCAGAGTAAGACGGGGGCCACAAAGCTGCATGAAGGCATTAACCCAAAACATTAGAGGGGCATCAACCACAAGAAACAAACAGACAGCCAAAATTAAATTCAACACACACACACAGTGCCAGTCAAAAGTTCATGTTCAACAAACTAATGTGCTGGAGCGTCCAAACGTTTGACTGGCACTGCATATATATGAATGAGGCCATAAGTACACCTGCATACAGGATGGGTGGCCTATAAGAAAGAACAGTTGGAGGTCAGAAACCAAGGCAGATTTTGTAATGCTAAGCAGACGCTGGCTTTGAGAGATCTTGGTGATGACGTGGTGGTAGAGGTCCGTACCTCCCCCTGGATGCTGAAAACCTGTGTTGATGTGTTAAGAAGGCTCTGTGCTTGAAAAATGGTTAGGTTGATGTGGGGTAATTTGGGTTAGAGGAAAGGAATTAAGATTAGATATCCACCTTTTTCTACGCTCTCTCGTCAGAGAGCTACTTTTGTAAATGGGGAAACAGAAAAAGTTTCCTTATTAAGCGTCAAACTTCCAACGGTGACCACCTGAAACACCTCCCAAGTTGTTTCGGTTACATTAGAGCGGGAAATGATTCAAGAGTGCTCCAGCTGCTCAATTATTTTTTTAGCCCATGTAGAAATATCTGAAAAAACTAACAGTGAAGTAAAAGTCAAAGGAGCTTTATCTAGCAGAGGTCAAGTGGACACACTCTTGAGGGCAAGCCCCTTCCTGCAGGAACAGATCCTAAGTTACAAGCTGACCATTTGTTTTCCAAAATATGAGCAACTCTGGCAGTTTTCATCGAGATTTCAAGAGTCCAGAGGGAAAACTGGAACGCAGTCCCCTTCACCCTGGTACAAATGTTTCAAGCCGCATAAATGAAAAACTTAAGACAGCCAGCAAAAATAAATAATCATTTGTTAGGTCTATGAAAGTGCCTTACTGATCACTGATCTGTTGGGAAACAGGCTACATGCCATGAGCTACACCCCCACTACTAAAAGAGAGGAAATCAGCATGTAACTAATATTAACGTCAGGGAAGGAATGTGGATATTTTAAATTCATTTGAACTATTAGTATAAAAAATGTCCAAATAGTGTCAAAAGTCAGTAACAGTATAAAGTATAGACAAACCCCGTTTCAAAGGAAAACCTTCAAACATCAGGCTGCATTAAATAAAGCAGAATGCATCAGATAGAAAGCTCAGGAATTAAAACAAATCAAACTAATGAAGTGCAACTATTTAAGATTGGTGCTCACAACACCCCTGGCCCAAAATAAAATCACTCAACTCATAAGACTAATTTATTTGATCGCTGCAGGCCTACAATCTGTTCTAAAAATCATGTCTTTATTTTTCACCCAAGACTGAAACAGTGTTTAGCTGCAATGCTGGAGTGTTTTTGTTGACACTTTCAAGCGGATCTCTCAGTCTTCCTCTGCTGGGGCAGCCGTCAGGTCTGGACCTTTGGGGAAGACCGTGATGTTCGGCTGAAAGCTCAAAGGAACTCGAACGTGGATCTAAAGCTCACCACGTTTGGACAATTAAACAAGTTTAGTTTCTTCTTAGTCGTCTGTTCTTGTGAGAACCGATCATTTCTGCCCGTGTTTACTTTTTAGTTGATTGAATTAGTTTATCTGTTTTCTTAGCGATTTAAACGGCTTCACTTTTAACAGATGAGGTAAACATGTTTATTTCAGTACAATTTAAAACATGTCTCAGTGTCTTGGGTGGAAAAAAATAATTAAAAGTACCGTATTTCCACAAATAAAGGCCATTGTTTCATGTGAAGTGTTTAGTTTGACAGATGTGTGAGGAAAGAACATTGAAGTTATTATTGATTGGTATTGTGCACTGGATGTACTGGTTATTGTTCCTGGTGCATTATTTTAAATGGCTTTATGACTCTCTTTTAGATGCCTGGCGTGAATATTTTCCCAGATGTTTCAGCTCCTGTTCGAAGACCCTCCAACCGTTCCCAAACCCAGACTAATTACTGCGATCAGATGCTTTTTTACACTGAAGGAATCTGGCATTAGATGGAGTTCCTTACAAAGTTTATGAAAGTCTGCTTACTGTCATCAAATTTATTCAGACGTTCTGAAAGCTGCCATTTGCCCGACAATGTAACTCTGAAAAATCCTTTAACTAGTATTATAAGATGCTCCACGTAGGCCTGTCATGATAAATTTTGCTGGGTAATTAACTGTTCCAGAAATTATTGTGATAAACGATAATATTGTTTGAAATTTGACAACAATTACTAATTCTTGTCAAATTTAAGAAGAAATGTTAATTTTTGTGTGTAGTACCTCTTTCGACAACTGGGTGGCAGTGTAAGACTGTTTGAACCAAAGGATGGATAGTGAGGGGGCTAGCAGCGTGTTTTTAAGAAAAATGGGAGGGAGGTCCCTTGACGTGACATGGGCTGTCTCCTTCCTATTTTTCTGTTCTCAAAATGGCGGACCGCAGTGTGGTTTGAGCTCTTTAGCATAGCATTTGTTACACAAAGCTTTTAATTACAAAAATAAATAAATAAAATCAGTAAACAAGTTCTGTTTCTTTTTACAGAGAAAATCAATTGTAGACGAAGGCACAGGTTTCAAGAGTGAATTTTGGAGCTTTGACAAGACGGAGGTTTTAAACCCCCAGAGGTCGACCTGTTAGCTTAGCTTCTCAGCTTAGCTGCTTTTAACAATACAAAAACACGATTTTGGATGGGTAAAGAGATTTTAAAGAGAAAAGACAAAGGAAGGGGTCAGTGAAGAGCACCGGAGTTGAACCTTTTGTCATACAAGACACACAAAGATAAAGCTGATAAATGAAAATGAGGTCAATAATTCTCATTTATCATGTGATTGATTTATTATTGCAACAGGCCTAGCTACACGCATTTAGTTTGTGCCTCAACGTAGATGGTTTGAAGGATGACTTCACAGATTACCGAGGACCAAATCTCCTCACTTATAAAAGTTTACGACAGCTTTTAATCTATCTGTGCCATTTATTTAAGGAAATACAGTATATGCATTTATGCAAGCAAATATTAAAACTCTTGGAACATTTTTCTTTACTTTGTCAAATATTTTGTCTTCATACTAACAGAACTACAAATTTTTGTACAGCTTTTTATAAATCCTACCACTAATACCACTAATGGTATATTTTAGTTTAGAAGAAAGAGTTAACACATTCCAGCTTTATAAATAATAAATATAACCTCTCTAACAATTAGATGAGAACCTGAAATAAGATCTTAAAGAAAATGCTGCTCTACAATGTGACATTCAAACTATTCAGAATGCAAATGGGAATTGTCTTCCAAATATTCAAGAATGTAGAGAAAGTGTTACTGTTCGAGGGTTTAATCTTTTTCCAACCTGTCCTCAGGGTTAACAGGGATTCCCAGGTCTCCTGTACGCAGTTTACGAGTCAGGTCTTCAATCTGCAGTTGGACTGGAAGAATTCAGGTTAGGAAAGAAAAACAAGGATGGAGAGAAATGTGGTTACCACAACAACATCAGAGAGACAACGCTCTACACTTTAGAGCAAAGTCTCAGTCAGTAAAGACAATTGGTGAAATCTGCTAAATAAAAAGGGAGATCAAACAAACATCTGATACGACTAGAGCATGAAACCACGTACTCGTTATGTGGAATCACATTTTGTACTCGGTAATGATGTACGCGAGGTCATTTAAAGTAGGGTTAAACAAAACAAACCTTTTCTTGGACAATGATTCAGCAAGACAACACGTCAAATGATGAAACCATGATTCCTAAAAATGCCAGCCATAACGTGGACTTTTCAAACAACGCTGTCGTTGCCTTACATCATTTACTAGAAAGAATTCAGTTTTATGGCGTTGGCATTCTGAGGACACATTTGTCTGTTTGTTTTGAGAACAAAACAGGTGATCAGTCACGTTTTTGCACTCCACAGATCTAACACTGAGGGGCTGCTGTGACACAGAAACAAGTCTTGCATTTTGAAGGCAATGAAGAACCAAATAGATCAGTCATTTCATGCACATTATAAAAGCTGTGAAGGAGTATCCCCGTGAACACTGATTTGCCTATCACTGAAACTCTGAGTGACTGAGATGAATACAGAAATTTGATCTTTAAAAACTTGTTTTAGGGGGATCTACTTAATGTGGAAAATTAACTAAGTATGACAACAGAGTGGGCACAAATGAATGCAAAGAAGAACAACCATTACCAATAAGAGGACAGGGTCAATAATGGTGTTAGTTACTGATGAAGTGTGTGTTGGTGCAACACTGCTCTGGGAAGGCATGAGGGTGAAGTTTCCCCGTCAATGTGGGTTTCAGACCCAGATGTTTTCGATCATGAAGGCAGCTGCTCGCTGAGCTGCAACTGCTGCCAACAGCATTTTAAACAGTGACCAGTGTCTCAAAATGTTTGCCGGGGTTTTCAGTTTCCTCACAGTTCAGTCTTGTGTGAATTTTGAACGCACTCAAATTTGTCCAACAAATTTTCCTCTCAAAATAATTACAGTTGTTATTTTTATTTATTTATTAACCTTTATTTAACCAGACAAATCCCATGGAGATCACAGATCTCTTTTGCAAGAGGCCTGGGCCTGAAGGCAGCCTAACATGCATGTTTTGGGCATCTGTAGATGGTTTCAGAGAGTGAGAACTGCGTTTTCCACTAATGTACTCTTGAACAGATGAAATCACAAACATGGAGGCGGCTGCCAAGATGGGAGCGATGTGGACAACAATGTGCACAGCCTAAAATGTGCACGACCCAAAATACGTTTTAGCAGGCCATGCACACAAACACAGGACGTTATGTTTACATCAGCTGCATTTACTGCTCACTGGTTACTTCGTCTCAAACACGAAGTGAGAATGCAAATTAAAATTAGTCTGTTTTTCAAAAACAGCAGCAGTCCAGAGCGATGTTCCTCTCGTCAGAGATTCTGTGCAAGCATCAAAATACAACTCTACAATTTAAGAAACCAAACTGAGATGGGTTAGAGATCCCTGCAACAACTAATCTATTCTAATCTAAACTATTCTGAGAGAAAGGTTGTTGCACTTTTTTTTAAACTATCAAATTTTAAATAAGACTGAGCCTTTAGGAGTCATGTGAGGAAAGGAAACATTCTGAGACATTTTGGAGACACTCTTTCAAATGTTCACAAACAGGTCGTCATCAGTCACAGCCCAGTGAGACACCGGCTTCACATGCATCTTTTATCAACATAAAATCCAATGTTACCTGCATTAGTTTAAAAACATTTATTTTATACATAGCAGGTTTGAGGCAGGTGCTGAATGTTCAGTGAAGCTTGGGAAAAAGCCACAAACACAAGCGTTCTTAAATTTATAATTTGTACAAAAGCAATTAGTTGTCTTATTTTACAGTGGATTCATTTCCCGTAAGAGCAGCATTGCTCCCATTCAGACCAATTGGAGAGAATCCATAACTGTGCTATGTTAGGACATGATGCCACCATGCATGATGACAATGACGATGTGTTGGGATCAAGCAAAAATGTTTAGGGCTCAGGACTGTTTTCAGCAGACAATGGTGTTTAATCAGCTATCACAGACCCCTCTTGTTAATGGCTGCCCAATGGGTGTGCAAACTGGGAGACTAAAAAACGCAGCAGAACCACTTAAAAGGAAACGAACAAAACACCTGACATCAACATGTTATAATTACTGCTCATTAGAAAAGATTGCTTTGTCTCAACAGTTGGAGCAAAGTTAGACATCTTCTCTTTAGGTAAAAAGCATAATACGATGAGAAAGCTGGAAATGTTTTTAGCACAAATTTTAGTTAGTAATGCGTCTTGTACGTGCCTTAAGAAAGCTCTAACTGTTGGGAATTCAGCAAACAGGAAACAATAATACTGGTGCCATGTCAAGAAACTAGAACCTTAAACAGTCAGAACTTATAAAACATTCAATAAACTGCATTTATAAATAATTCACAAAGCAATCTTTGCTAAAGACAATTAACATTTACCTATATATGCTCGCTCTTGATCTCGTGAGAGTCCAGGGGGAATAACGGTGGGCATCCCCGGTATAACAGTCTTCTGATCAGGTGTCTCGCTGCTCCAGCGACTCTTTTTCCTGGATTTCTTCAGGCCATAATCTAGAAAAACAAACAGGATATACTCCATCCACTGGCACTTGGGAACAGTACGTTAATATTCTCTGGTACTAATATCTAACCAAATGGGAGTGTACGGCATGTTCAAGGAAGCTCTGTACAACCCCTGATGGTGTATATTGTAGAAAACATTAAAAACCGTAGAAAACGATTTTTAGCGATTAGCATACCATAAAGCCATATACAGTAGTCCCTCGTTTATCACAGGGGATTTGTACCCTGAAGACCCGCGATAAGTGAAAAACCGTGAAGTAAGAATAATAGTACAATTAGTAGTTTATTTTATTATTTATATAGATATTAAGGTGTTTTAAACCCTTCCCACACTTGCAATATTCTACACACTGTTTCTAAACTCTAAATAGGCCTGTCACAATAAATTCTGCTGGGCGATTAATTGCCTCAAAGATTATTGCGATAAACAATATTGTTTGAAATTTGACAACAATTAGTAATTACTGTCAAATTCAAGAAGAAATGTTGGTTAATTTGTTTTGAGTGCAATACCTTTTTAGACCACCGGATGTCAGTTTGAACCGAAGGATGGATAGTGAGGGAGTGAGCAGTGTGTCTCTAAGAAAAAATGGAAGGGAGGCCCCTTGACGTGACATGGGCTGTATCTCCTGCCTTTTTTGGGTTCTCAAAATGGCAGACGCTCGGTGTGGTTTGAGCTCTTTAGCGTAGCATTTTTCACACAAAGCTTTTAATATAAAAATAAAATAAAAATCAGTAAACAGGTTCTCAGCTTCTTTTTGGAGCATTGACAAGACGCAGGATTTTTCCTGAGGTCGGCCTGTTAGCTTAGCTCGTAGCTTAGCTGCTTTTAATGATCCAAGAGAAAGGGAGGGGTCAGTGAAGAGCACCGTAGTAGTCTTTTGTCATCCAGTGTCTTCAGTAGAAAGAGAGAGACACGAAGAAACAATAAAGCCGATAAATGAAGATGAGGTCGATAATTTGTATTTATCATGCGATTAATTGATTTATTGCGACAGGCCTAACTCTAAACGCTCTAAAACAGCGCAGCATGTCATGATTTCAGCTCACTGCCACCTGCAAGTGAACTTGGCCATGCCCACTTCTCTGCTCTGCACGCCGAACATCTGATCACCTGCAGCAGGAAGTTTATTCTGCAGCAGGGCTGCATAAAGCTGCAGGACGACGCTTCTTCTGCAGCTCCGTTTGTTTGTTAGCAGATTAATGACAGCGTGATAGAGAATGTGTGTGTTACTTTTTATTTAATTGGTACAAGCAGTGTTTAAATGTGATATATAAATAAATCTAACACAAAGATGGTAATAATTTTATGATTTAGCTTCAACTTTTAATTTGCTGGCAAAGTCTGAGAGAAGACACTGCACACTGCATTGTATGGCAAGATGATTTGCATTTAAACAGGAATTAAAGTAATTTATTACATCTACTCAAATATGTGTAATTAAGTATTTTGGTATGGTATATAGTTTATTCATTTTAAAAAAGTACAAAACAATTCCATAACAATATAAAAAAAGATACAAAAGATTTAAAATGAAAGGCAGCAGAAAGAAGAAAAAATCTTATTATATCTGCCCCTTTTTTCAAACAATTATTTCAGACATAATAATCTTCAATTTTTCAATTTTTTTTTCTTTTCAATTTTATGTGTGTGTGTTTAATTGCTCTTTGAGCTACTTTTGCCTTAACCCAACGCTGTAAGTAAAACAAGGCATGTCTTGAGTTGCTGTAAATTATGTTATAATATATATTTACTTTCTCATTCCAGAAAACAACAACAAACAACAACACTTCATGATGGACAGACATCATGGACACCACAGCAGCAGCTGTCTTCACTGAAAGCATCCTGAACATGATCGTCATTGACATGAGGCCTCTGTCGATGGTTGAAGACGAAGGCTTCACTACAATAATCCACACTTTTAATCCAGGTTACACTCTTCCCTCAGGGACCCATTTTACAAAGTAGCTACATACTGTGCAGATATAAAGCATACATTTGTATATATTTTTGTGTACATTTATTTTTTTCATTGAAACTATTTGACAAACTTTTTTACTTTTCAATATTTTGCTAACAGAACAGTCAAGTAGCAACCTGTTTTTTGTGCAATTTGCTGTCAGTCAAATGTTCAATTTTGGAATAAAAAGGTGGAAATTAAAACGTTTGTTTGTTTTGGTGATCATCAATTAATCGGGGAAAATATAATGGACTGATTAATCGATCATTAAAATAATCGTTAGTTGCAGCCCTAATGGAAATAGATCTTGTGACATTGCAGAAGCTTATTGAAACACAGCGAATGCATTCTATAATCAAAGCTAAAGCGGTGACCATTTTTTTGGTGGCGACGTTTTTTTGTGCCAGGCAGTGCATCTCCTCTTTGTCTTTTCCTGGCAGCTGCATAACATCCTTCTACCAATATAGCCACCATCCCTCCTCTGGGCACGCCCAAACCATCTCAGTCTGGTCTCTAACTTTATCTCCCAGTTGTTCAACCTGTGATGTTGGTCTCATTTCCAATCTTTTCCATCCTTGTCACTCCTAAGGATTTCTAAAACTAACACCTGCATCAGCTCAACTATGCAAAGAGTCTCAGTTCAGAGTGCTTGCAGAGCTTAATGATCAAGAACAGTGATAATAAATGTTACTTGAGCTTTTCATGGGTCACAAAGAGGTTTGATAGGAACTGGAACAACTGGTTCCCAGTGGTTATAAACAGACGGGCATGACATACAAAAGGACAAAAGTAATATTTATGACATTTAATTTGGTGCAAAGTCACAGAAACCCCTGAAAAATGTTAAGTAAAGAAGCATATATTTGTCCTCCAGGAGAGACAGCAGTCATTACCTCTGCAGGAAACAGGAGGACTGGGCTCAAGTAATTCACAACAAAACTTTATTGATCCCACAGGACGTTATCTTATCTTAAAAAAAGGTTTGGTAATTACTGGAGTGTTTATACAGGATTGTAATGCTTTTTCTCCTTCTACTCCACTCTTGTAGTTTTTGTTTTACAGGACTTTGTTTTATGGGATGTAACAAACAATAAAAACAGATGAAACCTTAACATGAAACTGGATGTAAATGTGACAAGATTCAATTTTACAGTTGATCTCGAGCTGCTGTAGAAAACTGAAGCTTAATTGTTGATGAATTTAATGAATAAATATTTACACTTTATTCTAGTTTCATTTAGAAATACTATTTACATAACTTCATTAACATTTAGACTATTCTGCAAAGGATAATAAGTATAATTTCTTACGATAAAAATTTCTCCCTAAGATTTCAGTCGTTTCCTTTAATTTTAAAAATCCTGTGCGAGTGTAAAACTTTTCAAAGATCACTGGCTGGACTGCTGGTCGAGATGAGACAAATTAAACATCATCTGTTAGCAGGATGTGTAAATCTAAGCTAGGCCCAGGTTAACAGGCGAACTCAAAAATACTTAAAAACACAGTGAAGTCTGGTGTTTAATGCTCAATCACTACATTTACTGTAGGAAGTCGTGAAGGCGGTAAGGACTCCATTTCATGGCAGGCTTTGTTGGAGGATTTAATGTGAGGCCTACGACCTGAAACGTGTCGGAGCTAGCAGCGTTAGCAGACATTTGGCTAACTCACCGTGAGACATCATCCCGGACCCGACCATGGACTGTTGAATCTGGCTCGAAAAGCCCGGGTTGAACTGGAGCTGTGGAACAAAAGGTGAATTTGGCATTGGGGGCTGGTAACTTTGTAGAGGAGGAAGGGAAACCGGAGGTCCCGGTGTCGGCATCAGCCCGTTGCCTCCTCCTCCTGTACCAGGCCCGGCTTCAAATCCTCGTTTAGCGCCGATACTTGGGTGCAACTTCCCCAGAGGAGTTGCATTTGCTCCCGTGGCCATTTCCAATAAGCTAAAATGGCTTTGTGTTCGTCAAAACGCTGGTTCACTGAGATGTTTAGGTTGGACCGCGTACGCCTGCGCCAGAACAAATACAACGTTCCCAACAATTCACTCAAAATGGCGCACAACAGAAAACCATAAAGGTTGAGCCTGAGCCTCGAGACGAGCGACGCGACGTAATGCCTACGACAAAAAGTGATTGGCTCAAGTGAGTGTCAATTTAAATGAACCAATCACAGACCAGAAGATAAGTCCCGCCTACTACAGCTTGCTAAAGTGCCATTCCAACATTTTTCATTTGTGTGCACTGTTAACTCTAGTTCAAAAACTGCAACATTTGGACAGTTCAAACATGGATAAAGTGCTTGATACTGAGAGCAGAATTAATCAAGCACAGTTTAAGATTGGTGAAAAAAAATTGTATTTGAGAAAGTCCAAAATGTGAAATTAATGTATTTGGCCTACTCAACCAGTTCAGCCCAAAATTTACGATACGTAAGATTCTTCAAACCTGGATTAAACTTCCAACTTTCAAAAATGTCAGCAACAGCCAACAGAACTGTACATTGCAGTGAAAACTATGGGCTCTATTGTCAGCAGGAGAAGTAAAGCACGGTTTGAAATGATGGGATCGTTAATTTAAAGCAGGGATAGTCCATCCATCCATCCATTATCTTTACCCGCTTCTTTCATTTTGGGTCACGGGGGTCGCTGGTGCCCATGTCCGGCAATCACTGTGCGAGGGGCGGGGTACACCCTGGACAGGTCGCAAGTCCATCACAGGGACACATAGAGACAAACAACTATTCACTCTCTCATTCATACCTAGGGACAATTTAGAGTTACCAATCAGACTAACATGCATGTTTTTGGTCTGTGGGAGGAAACCAGAGTACCCGGAGAAAACCCACGCATGCACGGAGAGAACATGCAAACTCCACCCAGAAAGGCCCCTGGACCGGGGTTTGAACCAAGGACCTGCTCGCTGAGAGGCAGCAGCTCTCCACCGTGCTGCAACTGCAGGGATAGTGAATAATGCTAATGAATTGTGATTTGTTCCATGCAACTTGAATAATGTTTCATCATGAATATATTTGTTGACAGTGTTGTATAAAGTACCTCAAAGTGACACTTCAATAAAAGTACAAGTATCTTACCATAAAATTACTTTGGTAAAAGTTAAAGTCTCCTTTAAAATTATTACTGAAGTAAAAGTCTTAAAGTATCTGACATTTAATGTAAGCATCAAAAGTAAATTCCTCATATAAAATGGACTTGAAGTAAGAGTATTAAGTAAAAGTAAATGGTTAGAATTTCCAAAACAACATTTATTGGGTGCAATATCCAGTGACAAAAACTTGGAAAGTTTGAACTGAACAATGAAAGATTGTTCTTTAAAAAGTCTGATTCTAATGAAGTATTCAACCTTTATTAACAAAACTGTTAGAAAGCCCACATTGTGTTGGCTTGTTTACTGAGCTAGGTTCTGTTTGGTTACAGCTTGTTTCTTTCTGAATTTAATAGTTCCTATGCTTTTGAATGCACCGTGGCTGTTCCAAGGCTAGTGAACGCACCACTCTGTGTAAAGTGCAGAGCACAGTTGGGGGTTGATTTTTCTCTCCCGACATGGACACAGCCTTGTTGTTCAAGCTTGTTTGTGCTTTTCTGCTGTGTAAATACCAGTAGAAACACATCAAATAAATCACCCTAAACTGGATATCTGTCTCCGTGTTCTTTAATGGAAAGACTAGTGGCCCGACAACGTCATACCTTGCTGCTCTAAAGCAGTTAATGTCCTGGAGACCACCAAACCTCTTTTTTTTTAGCAGCTATTATTTTCACACCTATCAAGAATTTACAGTGGTTCCACTGTGAGTCAACAAAGACCTATTGTAACGATTGATATTTGCATATGCATCTAACTTGTTCACAGCCAGAACTGTAGTTTTCACACAAGCGGTGGGGGAGAGGCTGGATTTGTCAGTGAGAGAAGGGGTCGCGTGAAGTCACAGACTGGGAGAACAAACAGGCATTGCCCAATACACCTTAGGGCCACCGTACCAATCAGATTTCTTCTAAGTTTATATTGTAGGAACGAGTAACTATAAGTTTTTTCAAAGGGGAAACTCAAAAACGGTGATTTTTGTTTATTATTGGAACAACATGGCACACTGCAATAACAACATCTTGATGACTGTGTCATGTTTGTTAGGTGAACTGCTGCTGAGAAAGATGGACACAAGAAGAAAGTAAAAAGAGAAATTATTAATCATCAGAACATGGAAATGGTTTGACATATAGTTTTTAATTCAATATTTAAAATGCTATTCTAAACAACAGTGTTGGAAGATGTCAGAGATTTTACATTAATAGATAAAGTAAACATTTTAATGTTACAGCACTGACAGGCAGCAGCAGTGTAGAGTTTAGCTACCTGTTAGCTGCTAGCTAGCTTACTTTACAACTGGAGGCTGTTTCCTTACACAGTTACAGAATGGTAAATTGATAATGATGGATAACGTTACCACAGCTAACTAACACATAAATACTGTTTTTATTAACGTTAATATAGAAAGTAAACCTTTAAACGTTAGAGCACTGACAGCCCGTGTTGTATATTGTAGCTACTGTGGCTAAAGTTGCTGCTATGATGGATAACATTACCACAGCTAACGAACACATAAATAAAGTTTTTATTAACCTTACCTTGCGCTATATCTTGTAATATAACCTCTGTAAATAAAGGTTGAATGAATGAAATTCCGTAAAGTTTCCAGACAGGTCTCCCGAGGGAGATAGACCTGGAAGTAATGATCCACAGCATCGAGTCAAAAAGGAAGTTGTCTGACGTCATGTGAAAAGGGCCTATCACACTTCACCAAGCTCTTTCTGGAGCAGGGAGCGGCCATCTGGGGCACCTGGAGGTGCAGGTTGGAGTATGCTCGGGGGCCCAGGCTGGGGTGGGGGCACCAGGTTGTGTGCTTCACCTTTTCCACCCATATTTTGATGTTGTTGGTCCAGAGAGTTGAACAGGCGGTCTTCCGATCACTCTCTAACCTCTGCACCCCTCTCCGCATGAATACTATGAGATATCCATGAGAAATACCTAAGTGGCAGGCTGAGGATGATTCCCTGCTGCAGCCATCATTCATTTATTGGACTCAAGAAGTGCAGAAGTTGTAGACTGACAGCCTGTGATTAATTTCTGATTGAAATGTGTGCACTGGTCCTGGTGATATTTTGCTAACAATTAGATAAAGTTCATTAAAATGGCTAATCGAACATTTTAAACACATAAACCCAGTCAGTTAGCACTCATTGTATAAAACTCAATCTTAGCTACAATTATTTTATATCAATGTTTGGAAACTTTATCAAGTCGTAGCCTTGTTTGTTTTAGCTAAGATTATTGTGCTTTGACAGACATTTTTAATTGGGTTTATAAATGTAAACAGTTGTGCTTTTAAAATGGAGTTTTTCCTTCCCACTGTCTCCTTTGTGCTTGCTCAGGATGGGAGACTGTGATGAAATGATGATTCAACTTGTCTGCTGCTTCCTTAGATAGAGATCTTTACTAATTGTCTTTTCTATGTATGTGAATGTTCCTGTTCAGTGCCCTGAGACAACTTTGTTGTGAATTGGCGCTTTATAAATAAACTGAATTGAACTGAATTGTGCGGGCTGTGGTAGCTTGATGGTCAGCTCTGCAGTCTTGTAATCCTGAGGTTGTGGGTTTGAGCCCAGGTTGCATCAAGAAGGGCATCTGGCATAAAACTAATTGCCAAATCTTTCATGCTAGTTCACTGTGGTGACCCTTGAATGAAGCAGTCAAAAGAAAGGTATTTGCATTGACTGGTGCTTGAATGCTTGTAAAGTGTGTATAAGTTTCTATATTGCTGCATAAATCTGACCTAAAACATCATCAGATTTTCTCACAAGTCCTAAAAGTAGATAAAGAGAACCCAGTTAAACAAATGAGACAAAAATATTATACATGGTCATTTATTTATTGAGGAAAATGATCCAATATTACGGGCAGCACGGTGGCACAACTGGTAGAGCTGCTGCCTCTCAGCGAGCAGGTCCTTGGTTCAAACCCCAGTCCGGGGGCCTTTCTGGGTGGAGTTTGCATGTTCTCTCCGTGCATGTGTGGGTTTTCTCCATGTACTCCGGTTTCCTCCCACAGACCAAAAACATACATGTTAGGCTGATTGGTAACTCTAAATTGTTCCTAGGTGTGAGTGAGAGAGTGAATGGTTGTTTGTTTCTATGTGTCCCTGTGATGGACTTGCAACCCCTCCAGGGTGTACCCCGCCACTCGCATAGTGATTGCTGGACATGGGCACCCGTGACCCAAAAATGGAATAAGCGGGTAAAGATAATGGATGGATGGATCCAATATTACATATTTGTGATGGTAAAAGTGTGTGAACCTCTAGGATTATCATTAATTTTAAGGTGAAATTAGAGTCAGGTGCTTTTAATCAATGGGATGATGATCAGGTGTGAGTGGGTGTCAAGGGAATTTAGGTAAAGGTTATGAATGTTTATGACTAATGTTAGATTAATGTGTGTGAGTTTTAGAGAGTTGCTCAGAGAGGAGCCTGCAGGCTCATGGAAACACTTGATAAAGCTCCAAGGTCTTCTTCTCTCTGTAAACTGGAAAGTCGAGGTCATCTTGACCTCGGCTCTATTTGATGTGTGTATTAAAGCTTTTCCTGCCTCTCTGTCTGGCACGGATGGTCACTGACGAGGCTAAAAGTATGTAATTTTTGTACTTATTCTTTGTACAACAGGACTCTCTTGAAAATAAGTCTCTGTGACTCAATGAGACTAACCTGTGTAAATAAAGGTTGAATGAATGAAACATCTGTAAAAGTTTCCTCGTGGCCCGTCTACCCTTACAAGTAAACTGAGTGAACAATGTTCTTGTGTCCTCAGAGTGGCTTATTTGAGTAAACAGATTATGAAAGATAATTATTTTATCCAACATTGGACACCCTGTTTGATTTAAAGAACAGGATCTATCAGAGTCTGCTCTTCACAACATGTTTGTGGAAGTGGATCATGGAGGAACAAAGGAGATGGATGAGAACAAACTAGAACTTTTTGGTTTTTAATAAAAAAAAGTTTAATGTTTGGAGAAAGAAAAACTCTGCATTCCCGCATAAGAACCTTATCCCAGCTGTGAAACATGGTGGTGGTAGTATCATGATTTGGGCCTGTTTTGCTTCATCTGGGCCAGGACGTCTTGTCATCATTGATGGAACAATGAATTCTGAATTATATCAGAGATTTCTAAATGCAGAAAAACTGGTTCATGCATTTGTCACATCTAGACTGGACTATTGCAATGGTTTATTATCTGGGTGTTCAAAAACTTTTTAAAAAGTCTTCAGTTGATCCAAAATGCTGCTGCCAGAGTCTTAACTGGAGTTAGTGGGAGAGATCACATCTCTCCAGTTTTAGCTTCTCTCCATTGGCTCCATGTCAAATCCAGAACTGAATTCAAAATCTTACTTCTAACCTACAAAGCTCTCAACAACCTAGCTCCATCTTATATTACAGATCTTATTGTTCCATATTTTCCTAACAGAGCGCTTCACTCCTAGACTGCAGGTTTACTTGTGGTTCCTAGAGTTTCCAAAAGCAGAATGAAACATCTTTCAGTTATCAGGCTCCTCTCTTGTGGAACTAGCTTCCAGTTTCTGTCCGTGAGGCTGACACATTGTCCAGTTTTAAGACTGGGCTTGAGACTCTCCTTTTTGATAAAGCCTATAGTTAGGGTTGACTTGGGTTTACTGAGCTATCCCTTAGTTATGCTGCTATAGGCTTAGACCATCCATCCATCATCTTTACCTGCTTCTTTTTAAAGAAGTGCTTTAGATCACATTCATACACCGATGGGACACACATAATGAGAGGTTCAGTGTCTTGCCCAGGGACACTTGGGCAGGTGACTGCTGGTGGAATCGAGCCCCCCAACTCTCCCATTGGAGGATGACTGCTCTTACCACTCAGCCACAGCTGCCCCTTTTAATGTGTAAATTGTGTTTCTGCAGCTAGTTGCAGCGATCAGTGTCTAATCTATACCTAAAATTAAAAAGACCAGTTTCAGAGTTCATCATGAATTGTTACCAACAGCAGCTTGGACTATTTAATAATTTGTAGTAAACTGCGTGTAGCAGGATTCAGCCTGTGCAGAGTAACAATATCTGCCACAGAAGCTATGAACTACGAGCTCATTCAATAATCAACAGTCATTACATCAGATTTATAGTGTGGACTTTTAAACAGGTCCATTCAGTCCTGGCCGGATCACTTCACACTGAGGTAAATCAGATGAAATCTACTGACTCGTTCGTGAAAGGAGACACATTTTCCTTTTTCTCTTACTACATCCAAAGAACACAGCTTGTTGTAATTTTTTAATCATTTTTATAAAAATATATTATTATCATATGTTAATATCTTTGACTTGTTTACATAGTCAGCCCTTACCCAGGGCTATTAGTCAAAACCCCAAGTGCAGACGTTCGACTGTTTTGGTAATGGCCACAAACAAGGTCATGTGACCAGTCCGCCTTCTAGTGGTTTAGGACTCTTTGACCAGCAGTGACAATACTGAGGAAAATGATTTGTTTCAACACAGAACCCTGTCAAATCTATTAGACATTATGGACAAGCTACATTTCCTCCCTCAGTGAGAAGGTCAAAGGTTTGCCTCTTGGCCTTTCTGTGTGGAGTTCCCCCAGTAGTTTTCTCTGGGTACTCTCTAGTCTGGTGTCCTTTTGCTGAAACAGCCTCTGGTTTGCTATGATTGACATCAATCCCCTCCGGTTTTAATTATGATGATCAGGTTGACAGATGAGGTCAGACAATTAGGTCCCAATACACAACACTGATCTGCAGAGAGAACAGGGAGCAGGCGGAAGAGAGTTTAGAGAGGCGGAGTTATGCACTGAAGAGAGAAGAGATGGAACCGTCCGTCCGTCCATCGTCTATGTTGTCTTTGCATGTAATGAAATTGGTAACACCCCCCCCCCCCCCACACACACACACACACACAAATAAAGTGTACAATATATTTTTATTTGTTGGTCCAGATAAGGTTTTGCTCTTTGAGAATGACTGTTGTTCTCTGTTACGAGTTTTATTTTTAGTCAATAAATCTGATGACATTTGAAGTAAAAGTACAGATAAAGAACTCATCTCATCTAACGGATCAACCAAATTTCCTTTTATTTTTGGTAAAGCGTTTGACACCGGAAATGCGAGAATTTTCACATAATAAATATAAAAAAAACGCGTATATTACAAGCTATACGAACGACCAGAATGTAATAAAACACGTATATTTGTATGGGTTATAAAATATTATCTGAAGGAATATATAACTGTAAGATAACTTACAGGAAAAGTGTGACGCAGTTTATGTTTGTTTTATTTTGAAACATCAAACCGGAAACTCTCTTTCCTGATTTGACGCGCAGTATAAATTGGGCTGGAGCGGAACCGTTCCCCGGCCGGCTGTTCTCGGTGGGGAGTCAGAGGAAGTCCTGTGTTAAGATTCACGGTCAGAACCGGGTTCTCCTGAAACCATGGCCAAGCCGCTGACGGACCAGGACAAGAGGAAGCAGATCTCTGTCCGGGGACTGGCCGGGGTGGAAAATGTCGCGGACCTGAAGACCAATTTCAACAGGCACCTTCACTTCACGCTCGTGAAGGACCGGAACGTTGCGACCAAACGGGACTATTACTTCGCTCTGGCCAACACGGTCCGGGACCACCTGGTGGGCCGCTGGATCCGGACCCAGCAGCATTACTATGAGAAGGACCCCAAAGTAAGGCGCGGGTGATGCCGCAGTCCTGCACGTAGACCGCTGATCTGAGGGGGGCGGGGTGTTCCGCAGTGACAGCTGATGATCCCCGCGTGTGCGCGTGTCAATGTGTTTATGTGCACGCGCCGCTACACTTTCCTCTTCATTTCATTTTATAGTCAGCTTGCGCTTCCTTCCTCTTTTTTTGTGTGTGCCGTTGTTTTGTGTCAAGAGAGGTCGAGCTGCACCTGAACCTCATGCACGCGCGTCCTCTGTAACCTTCACTTGCTCCCGCCCCGGCGCGCGTGGGCTGCTCACACACCGTGCACAAACAGCGGTGAATTCCGGCGTCGCGTGGAGGAGCACGGAGACGCAACTGGTAGTTGAAACGTGATGACGTAATGGCCCAGTCCATCTCAAAATGGCCACGCGCTGTTTGAAGGACTAATGGAGATCAAACGTATTTCTCCCTGAGCTGCAGGGCTTGTGGATGAAGCAGAGTGAAAGTGAAGGCCTGCACTGATCAATATGGCAGCTTCATGACGTCATCTGGTTCTGTTGGACCCTCACCCTCCCAAACAGCTTCAGGTCCTGACCTAAGAGCGTTTCATAAAACGCATGTCGCCCACCAGCTGTAGCTGCTTTAGGCAAACCTTGAAGAAGTTTGTGCTCAGCGTGTGCGTTCTGAACGACTCGCAGCTACCACCCCTTCATGTTTTAGCTCAACATCAACACATCCAACAGAGCTGGATCGTTTGGTATTTGTTAGCTGCAGTATCTTCAGTTGGATCAGTTCAAAAATGATCTGCCTCTAGATATAGGACTACTTCCTAACAGTTTCATTAACATCTGTCCAGTGGTTCATGAAGTGTTCTGCTGAAAGAGGGTCGACTCCAATGGAGGCAAAGTTTTTAAACCAGATCATTGTTAACGTGAGGGATCGGCCTCAGCTAACACCAAACCAAAGTTTAGCTCATCTGAGTTTTAACCTTTCGTGTACGTATTTTGCTCGCTGCTGTCTAGAACTGGGTTGACTCCAAAGAATTGATCAGTAATAGACGATTATGTCATTACTTTGACAGCGTCGTTAAAACCTGAGGTATTTGCTAACAGACGGACGGACATGGGAAAAGATTCCCACCCGTTTGTCTGATTTAAAATGAAGAGATTGCTGCTTGACCTGGTATTTTTGCTGAAAGTGGAACAACTAGAATCCACTCTGTGATAACTGTTTCGTTTCATTAGGAGCTGAGGAGTTTGCATTCAAACACAACACATTTAAGTTTTTACACTAATAAATATCTAATGTAAAAATATCCAAGTGTGTGTATAGCAAACACATCTCGTGAGATCCCTGCAGTTTAAAGTTTAGTCCTTCTAAAACAGCTAGGCCTTTAATTGTCCCCCTTGTAAATTTAAATAAATTTAAATAAATGTCCGTCCATGTTGCCAGTACGAGAACTTGAAAAATTAATGAAGTACCGACTTCTGTTTTGGTGTAAGAAACGTTCTTTCAAAAATCAAGTTGCCTCAAATGATTAGTGGCAGTATATTAATCTATGGGGGCCAAGGCCACCATTAGCCACCCCCTGGCTCCTTCATTGCACTTGGCGGTGGATAAAATGTCTCCTTCAACTCACCAGGATCCATCGCTCTGAACTGCCTCGTATAGACCAAAAACCCTCCCTCTGTTCTCCACAGTGTGCCCTCCAGAATATCTTGCACCAGAACACTAAAGTTTACTTACATTCCCTGTTCAGTTCCAGTCCAGAAAAACACTTATCTCCAGAACTACAAACACTCACTATTCAGATCCCTCAGCGACAGGGGACATCGGTGGCGCACCACTTGTTAGGTTAGACACTAATATCTAATATTAGGTTATTTCTTAGTGCATTTAACACATCTAACAATAAACTGCATGAACATATTTGTGTTTTTATTATTGACACGTAAACTTTAGGTGTGTGAGTCAAACCCAGTAAGTTTTCCAAATGTTGGTAGCTCAGGAATAAAAGTAATCGGCCATGAAGTGCCTGTGATGTGGGCTCCTTGTGCTGCATGGTCCTGAGTCCAGCCAACTACAGCCCTGCCGTACTCTCCTGTAAATCCCAAACACTACAGCGATGAATGTGGATTCATCCGCCGCTGGAAGTAGTCCCATGCATATAAAGTGCATGGGGTTCAGTGGGAGGTGAAACATGTCAGCACTACAGAGTGATGTTGTACATCAGACCTTCTGTGGGACTAAATATTAGTTTTACGTCTGTGAATGTAAGCGTTTCTATCTGTAATGTTTGCATTGTTTAGTTGTCTGCGTGTGATTTTACAACTCCTGCTGTTGATCAGCTGCAGGAACAGAAAGCCACAATGGGAAGGCAAACACGGAGGGGAGTATTTCATGGAATTTTCCAGGTCGTTGTCGGTTCATGTGTTCATTTTCAAAGTGCAAGTTGTCACAGAGCTGTGAGCAGGCACAGCTCCAGCAACTCAAGACGCTTGCATCAGCTCTTCTGTTGTTTCTGTCTTTGACTTTCTGCAGATTGTCCACAGATAAGACAACCAAATAAAACATGCAAATTATACACCAAAATGGACGTGTCCATGGAGTTAGCTTTGACATTTGATAGCAGTACAACACTCCCTGTAGACAATGTTCACAAAGAAACATGAACCCGGCCCTGTTTGGAGCTCTTCAGCTCACACAGACTTTACAGTAGAAACCTCATTCAAATTATTAATAGGTCACAGAAAGTTGCTGGTTTGAGATCTTTTATGGTTTTACACAAACGAGACACTAGAGAACACAAACCTCTTTCGTGCAGGTCCCAAGCCCGAGTGACTGGTCAAGGTTGTGACTGGAAAAGTATCCCATATAAAACACTTTTGCTAAAAATAACATGCAAGTTCATCCAAACGACACTAAATCGGGTCAGTCAAGGCTCAGGTACGACACTGATCTATGGTGGGAACAGGGAACAGGTGGAAGAGAACTTGGAGAGGTGGAGGTATGCACTTGAAAGAAAAGAAATGAAAGTAAGACAGAGTACACGTGTGAATGATAGGGAGGCCGGTGAAACAGTGAGGCTGCAAGGAGCAGAGGTCACAAAGGTTCAGGACTTCAAGCAGGGGCGGTGCTATCCTGTTTGGTGCCCTGGGCGAACAGCACACCAAACAAAGCACAACTAGCTTTAAGCATTCACCTTTCATTTAACCAGTGGTGTAGTCTACATTTTTGTAGTGGGTGTACTGTACTTAGAAACCAAAGTACACTGGTTAGTACAATGTAATCGTCAATTTATTTTGATTTTTAAGCATATTGAACAATTCCAAATTTCTCTGATGCTTATATTTGAATAAATGAACAAGAAACTTTGTACAACAGTTGGCTTTGTATTAAAAACATTTATAGAATTTATAAAACGTATTAAAGCAAAACATGCTCAAGTATTAAGTAGTAAGTACAGAAGTATTAATTATACAATAATTCGCTGGATAAGCGAATGTAATAAACAAGCGCTGCATACAGATAGATTGTTACAGAAGCGTTTAACTGTTTAACGTATCAATGACACGTGCCTAATGATATGTCATGCATCATTGGGCACTTTTACATGGGTATACTGAAATTCTTAAACTTTTCTAGTGGGTATACTCTGTAGACCCATGTATTGTCTAGACTACACCACCGCATTTAGCCATTAAGCATACAATGTAATTATGACAAAAAATGGAGGATTTACATGCAGTTACCTTCGTACACATGAACATATGGTACTTCCTGTTTATCACTGTTGTATTTAGCTGCTCATGTGGTCAGCTGCTGACCTTTATCATCTTTTACATTTTTCCAAACTTCGTTTAGGCTTTGAAAAGCGAATAAACTGTATTCCACCCTCTAACTCTCAGGGTAACGTATCTGAATTACCCTGATGCATGCACAATAATCCAGGTAGAAAAATCTAAAAAAGTTAAGTCTAGTCTTCTGGACATTCAAAAAACAAAACAAAAAAAAAAGTAGAAACGTTTCGTCTTTCATCCAAGAGACTTCCTCAGTCTGAGGAGCTGTTTTCAGCTCAGTCTCTTAAATAGCACCTTCTCAGAGTGGATCAACCAGTTTGCTGCTGACAACCAAAACCAGCTGCTCACATGATCAAGAAGGACCATCAGCCTAACAATGGATCATTAGCACCTTATGGCTGTTTACTGTTCACAGAGGGCTGAGTGATACTAGCAATCACAGCATTGTAAGAGGGGGGCAGTTGAACCCGGAGGCCTCCACCCCTGTTTAATGATGGACGATTTCTTTTCACAAAGATGGCCTCCTTTACTCCTGTGCACCTACCACCTACGTGGACTTCACGTCTGCCTTCAATACCATGATCCCCCAAACCTTCATGGACAAACTATTCACACTAGGACTAAGCCTCTCCATTTGCAACTGGTCCTAGACTTCTTAACAAACACACCGCAGTCAGTGAGGATCCACAACTTCTCCTCCTCCAACATAACCCTCAGCACTGGCTCCCCTCAGGGATGTGTGCTGAGCCCTCACCTGTTCACTCTGCTCATGTATGTGCAGCTACCCATCCAGGCTGTCATATTGTAAAGTTTGCAGATGATACAGTGGTGGTGGGATGCATCACAAACAATGATGAGTCCAGCTACAGGCAAGAGGTGGAACACCTGGAGAGCTGGTGCAAAGGGAATAACCTTCACATCAATGTGAAGAAGACAAAGGAGATGATTGTGGACTTCAGAAGGAACAAACACATCTACATCCCCCTGAACATAGGAGGATCTGCGGTGGAAGTGGTCTCCAGCTACAAGTACTTGGGTGTACACATGAATGACAACCTCAGCTGGAGCAACAACACCACCAGCCTGATCAAGAAAGCTCATCAGAGACTCTACTTCCTCAGACGAGCTGAGACGAGCTGGTCTGGGAAGCTCAGTCCTCACCTCCTTCTACAGGTGTGCAGTGGAGAGCATCCTGTGCTCCAGCATCAACGTGTGGCATGGAGGCTGCACAGCTGCAGAAAGAAAAGCTCTGCAGAGAGTGGTGAAGGCTGCACAGAAGTCTGTCGGAATCAGCCTCCCCACCATCACAGACATCTACACCTCCAGATGCAGGAAGAGGGCTACCTGCATCATGAAGGACCCCACTCACCCAGCACACACACTTTTTGCCCCACTCCCCTCATGAAGAAGGTTGAGGAGCATTAAATGTAGAACCACTAGACTGAGGAACAGCTTCTACCCTGAGGCTGTTAGACTCATGAATCTCTAACCAGAATAATCTCTGTGAAAAAAATCACATCATGTTGCTGCTGATCTGTTTCATGTTGCTGCTGATCTGTTTCATGTTCCTGCTGATCTGTTTCATGTTGCTGCTGATCTGTTTCATGTTCCTGCTGATCTGTTTCATGTTCCTGCTGATCTGTTTCATGTTCCTGCAGATCTGTTTCATGTTGCTGTGTTAATTCATACTCATCTGCTCACACAGGCTCATGTTTGTGCTGCTATTCGACGTAATGGTTTTATGTTATGAGTGCTTAGTGTATATTTAGTTGATGTTTTTCTTAGTTCATATCTTAGATCTTATTATTGTTTTACTTTTACATTTTATTGTTGGATGTAACTGGGAACTTGTGTACATAATCTCGTTCCATCACATGTACCACATGAGATGCGAATGACAAATAATACTCTCTGAATCTGGCTTAAGCTGCATCTATCCTCAAAATTGTGTCTTCAAAAGTGCAAGTTAAGGGTATTTTACTATATCAGTTACCTTAAAGAACACACATTAAATATGCAAACACCATTAAAGTTATCTGCAACTCATGGTTGAAGACTTTTTAGGATCTGATTCATAGTTTTTTCACACAGTGACTGTTTGAGACTGAAAACAGGCTTTTCAGGCTGCCTGTTTAACCTGGCAGTCAGGGAGTGACAGACACTGGTGCAGGGTTACCATGGTGACAACACAGCCACATTTCTTTTGATCTTGGTTTTGTTTACATTACAGTTCAGACATCAGATTGCAAGTGTTTACTGAGCTCAGATTATTCTGAAGTTAATGTTGGAGTCGGGGCAGGAGCTTAGATAAAACTCATATTTCTTCATTATAAATGGTAAATGGACTGTACTTATATAGCACCTTTCTATCTTATCAAGATACTCAAAGCTCTTTACAACACCTGTGTCCTCATTGACCCATTCATACAGCACTCTACTAGATCTCTACAAAGCTAATAGAATAAATCATTCTAAAGAGACTAATCAGAGCTTTATCACATTCATACAATGACGGGACACACATCAGAGGCTATGAGGGGTTCAGTGTCTTGCCCAGGGACACTTCAGCATGTGGCTGCTGGTGGATTCAAACCCCCCCCAACTCTCGCATTGGAGGACGACTGCTCTAACCACTCAGCCACAGCCGCCCTAAATTAAACTATCAACCATCTGACATTTTGTTTGGAGTTTCAGCAAATATTTTTGTGAGCCTATATCTTGTTTTGTATTAAAATTTAGATGAAACCGTAGATATTTGCCAGCAAGTGTTACAAACTGTGCTAACAGCTTAAAAAGTCAGATTGTTCTTGCTTCCTGCAGCGCGTCTATTACCTCTCCCTGGAGTTCTACATGGGCCGGGCTCTGCAGAACACCATGGTGAACCTGGGCTTGGAGAACGCCTGTGATGAAGCCACCTATCAGGTGAAGAACATTTATCATCCTCAACAAAGAAGGTTATAGACCCCAGTCATGGAAAGGGGGAATTGGAAGTACTCTCCATCCATTTGTGCATCTTGTGATGATGACTTGAAAAATAAGTAACATGCTAACTTCCATTTCGGTGTGTGGCTGCATCTAGACTCAAGAGGTTGACTTCTAT